AATTTTCAAAATTGGAAACTTCTTATAAATATCATCATTATTATTATTATTATTATTATTATTATTATTATTATTATTATTATTATTATTATTATTATTAATATTGTGATTATTATTATTATTATTATTAATATTGTTGTTGTTGTTATTATTGTCATTTTTATTGTTATTATTATTAATAATAATATTGTTATTATTATTATTATTATTGTTGTTGTTGTTGTTGTTATTATTATTATTATTATTGTTGTTATTATTAATAATAATAAAAATAATAATATTGTTGTTGTTGTTATTATTGTTGTTGTTATTATTATTATTATTATTATTATACTTTGTACAGGTTTCATTTTGCTTTGGCTAGTATTTCATTATTTTACATAAAGTAAAATGTTTGTTATTATGCAGTAGACATTATTGCCTTCAATTTTTAACTTGTTATACTGTGACTTCTGACTGATCTCTGTTATGCCAAGATAAACATTTGCTTTTTAATAACAACTGTGACTTGGTTTAGGAGCTGAATAATTTGCAGTATTATGTTGATTAATCTGAGATAACATCGTGTCTCAGAAGGCCCAAGAGCAGTGCATTTTGGGATGTGCTAGTTTTTACGTAACGGCAGAGGCTTCTCTTCAGCGTTCACATTTCTTTAGAGGAATTCCCTCATGCGTTGGCATAAGTTGTTCATCAAATATTCATGCCCTCTTTCAGGAGATAAAATCGTCCAGATGAAGGCGTTTTAGAAGGACTCAGTCAGAGCAGAAAACACATTCATCACAGCTGACAGAATGTCTACTGTATATATTATCTGTCAAGTGCTATTGTTGTAAAAGCCTACTGTTATCACATTTGATCATGTGATATGCAAATCAACTTTCTCATAATTTTCTTCATGCCTTCTGTCATCTGACTGATAATTTAGACATTAAATTATCATCAACATTTTAAATGTTATTTTAAAATATCTACATTTATGAGTGGCTCAGTGGTTAGCAGTCTCCTCACATCAAGAAGGTCGCTGGTTCGAGTCCTGGCTGGCCCAGTTGGCATTTCTGTGTGGCATTTGCATGTTCTTGTGCATGAAGGATTGTCCTTGATGAATCCTCTGTTGTTGTTGTCAGTGTGTATGTGATGGTGGGAGCAGATGTGCAGTTCTCATCGTGTCTTCGGGAGGTGGAGACGCCACAGAACCAGCTGAGATGCAGTCAGGAGATGGAGCCCGTCATCAGCTGCGATAAGAAGTTCAGAGCACAGTTTAACATTGACTGGTGCAAGATTTCTCTGGTGAGCAGTAGATCTACAGCTGAGGTCTGTGCCATACAGTGGGACTGTTTGTCCATCAGGTCATCAGACAATCCACTATTAAGTGCAAACAAATGTTGTTTATTCTTTTAGAGGACATTTTTACAGTTTTATTATAGTTTTATTTAATTTATTTTTATTTTATACTAGTTTTTATTCATTTTATTTTTTATTCTTTTTTCTTTTATTTATTTGTTTTTATCATGTTTAATTTAATTTATTTTATTTCAGAGTAGTTTAATTTTATTTGTTTATTTATTTTATTTTTTATTATTTTTTATTTTAATTATTTATTTTTATTATTTTTATTTTATTTGTTTTTGTTATTTTTTCCCTATTATTATTTTAGTTATTTTTATTTTTTATTATTTAATTATTTTAATTTGTATTATTTTAATTTTATTTAAAAAAAATTATTTATTTTAATTTATTTTATTTTTATTATTTTTTTGTTTTATTTATTTATTTTTATTATTTTTTTATTTATTTTTATCATTTTTTATTTAATTTATTTTTATTTTAGACTAGTTTTATTTTTTTTGTTTTTATTTTATTTTTATTTTTATTTATTTTTTTTTTTTTTATTTAATTTAATTATTTTTATCTTATTTATTTTATTATTTTTATTATTTTTCATTTATTTATTTATTTATTTTTATTTTTTTATTTAATTGAATTATTTTATCTTATTTATTTTATTATTTTAATTATTTTTATTTTTATTTATTTTTTTAGTTATTTTTTATTTTTAATTAATTTTTATTTTAGACTAGTTTTATTTTATTTGTATTATTTTCTATTTTAATTATTTTTATTTTATTTATTTATTGTTATTATTATTAGTATTATTATTTTTTTATTGATTTATTTTTTGTATTTTTATTTTACTTATTTTATTATTATAATTTTTTTATTCATTTTTAGCATTTTTATTTTATTTTAATTTTTTTTATTTTAATTAAAAATATATTTTTATTTTTAGTTATTTGTTTTTATTATTTTTATTTTATTTGTTTTTATTAATTTTATTTATTTTTATTTAATAAAATAAATTTTTTATTTTATCATTTTATGTTATTTTCTTTCATTTTATTTGATTTTATTTTAAGAAAAGACAGAATAATAAAATGTATATATTTACATTTAATGAAAGAAGTGAGACTCCTTCAACCTCAATTACTATTAAATATTATAGTGTTTTATCAAATTTATGTAAAGCTAGTCTTGTTCTGTTAATTACAGTTATTTCAAAAAGCTTTTTATAATTATAATTTTTTAATTTTAAGTGAGAAACGGAAAATGATGATGAAACAGAGCTCAATATAAATTAAAATGTTTCATATTGTATTTTTAATTTATTTTTTATAAAAAAATTTTATGACTAATCTTAAATTTGATACCGATCTTAGTAATTAACCAACCGTCTTTACCCACATCCTGTGGAGGAAATAAATATAAATATATGCTTAATGCAAATATAAATTTGGTGGTTCATTCCACTGTGGCGACCCTGGATTAAAAAATAACATAAGATGAAAAGAAAATAAATGAATGAATGAAATATAAAGTTAATGTATACTAAGGCATCAGACATTAGACAGCATATTAGAATAATTTTAAAGCTTTAAGTACTGTCTGCTAAAATGTCACTTTTGAATATATAGGGTTTCTGCAGGGTCTTAAAAAGTCTTAAAATGTCTATTTTATAGCCATTTGTAGCCCCGCCGCATTTAAAATCTAATTTGAATTTAAAATGCACTAGCAGAGAGGCACAATCAGAATCAAAGCCTAAAATGGGAAGATTTAGAGAGATAAAAACATTATTTGTGTAGGATTTTAAGCTGAAACTTCACATATGCACTCTAGGGAAATCAGAGAGTTATTTTACATCTTGTAAAATGGGGTATAATAGGTCCTCTATAAGTGTTACAATTATTTTTGTAAACCACATTATATACATTTTTGCTAAGTATGCTAAAGCTCGTTTTGTCTTTGCTGTTGAAGGTGGACATCACTAAGGTTGTTCCTGTGCACAGTAACCGCCCAGACCCGGGCACTGGTGTGCTGCCAGACATCGGCGAGTACAACCCACCCTCCGAGTCTCTGAAAAGCAGAGATTATTTCGCTGACTTCCTGATCACCCTGGCGGTGCCCTCAGCAGTCGCCACAGTACTCTTCATCATCCTGGGATACTCCATGTGCTGTCGACGGGAAGGGGTGTAAGTTCACTGTGCTAATCTTTTGGTCAAAGTGAACACGCACACATACACACACACACACACACACACACACACACACACACACACACACACACACGCAAGCACAAAACTGCTCTTTTTTTTACTTGATTCTTATATTTATTGGGTACTTAAAGGGGTCCTGTTATGCTTTTTGCATTTGACTTTTTTCAGTGTGTAATTTTGCTGTTTAAGCATCTACAAAGTTACTAATAAGCAATTTAATCTATATATTTGCTATTTCTGAATTCTGTCAAACCACTTTGTAGTCCTGAATTTTCGTTTTGGTAATGTGCATGTCACAGTATGCTGACTTTAAATGATTAGGTTGCATTAGTCAACATAGGCTCATTCTGAAAATGTAGCCCTATATACATTTCTGGAGATCACGAATTATGTAGCCAGAGCTATGTATGGCTGCATTTAATCTTTAAAACGAACGCTACAGGGCAGTATGACGCCGTTACTTTTCATGCTTACCAACTGACCGCTTACTTTCGTGTGGATGGCTTTCCTACCGTTACCAGTATGTTCAATGGCTCGCCATGTACGTCCGCGGACTTGAGGCGCAGAGACGAGTTGACCACGACTGTAACTTGAAGTGACACTGACAACAGAGGTGTGGATCTAAATGCAGGTTTATTAGAGAGGTCAGGTAAGCAATGGTCAACACAGGGGCAAACAGATATACACGGACAATGCAGAGTCGTAGTCAAACACACAGGCAGATGGTCAGAAGGCAGGCAGCAGACAGGAATAAACAGATAAACAAGGCGAGGATCAAAACAGGGCAAAGCAAGACAAAGGAAACGTGTTGTTATGTCAATAAACAGTAAACAAGACTCAGCAACAGTGAGTGTTTCTGTGCTGATTAAATAGTCCATGTAATCAGTTTGTGAGCAGCATCAGCTGTGTGAGTGATCACTGCAATCACTGTTGACTTAGAGCAGGACTGTGTGTGTGTGTGTTGCATGACTGGATTTGTAGTTTATTATGATTCTGCACAGGCTGAATCGCTGGTGATTATGACAATGACGATGCGGTTTGAATCATGCAAAGAACGGTTCAAAAAAGGTAAATAACAAGGCGAGAATGTGGTAAAATTTAAAAACGTGGTAAAAATCTGGTGAGTGCTTTTCTTTTTCTGGATTGTTTTTTAAAACTGTCGGTTGGGTTTAGGAAAGTGAGTGATCAAGTCAATTGCTGCTTTTGAAAACACTATTGGTTGGGTTTAGTAAAGGAGGAGTGTGGGTCAGTTGATCAGGCATTTAGTAAGTCGACAGCAGCTTTTGGTGGATTTACGGGAGAACAGCAGGCGCGAATGGCACTCGATAGAAAAATGTGAGATCTTAAAAAGCGTACACAGCGGCCTCTGGTGGATTTGCGTAAACTAAAACTGCAAAAAAAACATAGCTCCTAGGAAGTATTTGGTCCTCTTCAGAAATTACTATAGGGGTACGTTTTCCTTGGTTAGCATTAGTGGTAGGGCTGCACAATATATCGCAAAATTATCATTATCGCGATATTAGAATATGCAACATACAGGGTTCATACAGTGATGGAAAACCTGGAAAAGTCATGAAATTTTGACATGAAAAGTTTCGAAATTTTGGAAAAACAAAAAAAGCCCACAGTGTTTTGGAAAAGTCATGGAAAGCTCAACAAATAGCTGTATACTTGAATACACAGTAGGTTAGTTGTCTTTACTTCTTTTCTGTCCTTAAACTAAATAGATTGTTGCGTGTTTTATAACATGATGTAATACATTTGAAAAGTCAATGGTTTTGTTCTTATTTACCACATATACATAGACATTACATGAAATATTAAGTCATGAAAATTTACTTGAAAATCCTGGAAAAGTCATAGAATTTTAGTAGTTAAAATGTGTATGAACCCTGAATATGTGTATGAAAATGTGTATGAACCCTGAAGTAACACAGATATGTGTGATAAATTACATTTATTTTATGCATTGGCTGTTTATCTTAATTTGAGACAGAACAAAGACACTGATACTGAATACATTCATTGGCCACAATATTAGGTACACCTGTCCAACTGCTCGTTAACGCAAATTTCTAATTAACCAATCACATGGCAGCAACTCAATGCATTTAGGCATGTAGACATGGTCAAGGCGATCTGCTGCAGAAGAAAGCTGATTTAAGTGACTTTAAACGTGGCATGGTTGTTGGTGCCAGATGGGCTGGAGTATCTAAAACTGCTGACCTACTGGGATTTTCACACACAGCCATCTCTAGGGTTCACAGAGAATGATCCGAAAAAGAGAAAATATCCAGTGAGCGGCGCAAATGCCTTGTTGACGCCAGAGGTCAGAGAAGAATGGCTGGTACGAGCTGATAGAAAGGCAACAGTAACTCAAATAACCACTCGTTACATCCGAGGTATGAAGAAGAGCATCTCTGAACGCACAACACGTCCAACCTTGAGGCAGATGGGCTACAGTAGCAGAAGACCACACCGGGTGCCACTCCTGTCAGCTAAAAACAGGAAACTGAGGCTACAATTCACACAGGATCACCAAAATTGGACTATAGAAAATTGGAAAAACGTTGCCTGGTCTGATGAGTCTCGATTTCTGCTGCGACATTCAGATGGTAGGGTCAGATTTTAGCATCAGCAACATGAAAGCATGAATCCATCCTGCCTTTCATCAACGGTTCAAGCAAGGAGGGTCTAACCCAGTATAAGTAAGGTGTACCTAATAAAGTGTCCGGTGAGTGTATTTTAAGATCGGTCAGTGCAGTCTTGGATTCACTTTAAACCATGTATGTGAAACTGGAAGCAAGATTTTAAACTGACTGAGTAACTGAGGCACAAGCTGTAAAGGCTCCACCCTTTTTCAGAAAAGGAGGCGGGCAGCAACAGCTCATTTGCATTTAAAGAGACAAACAAAAGACAGCAGTTTTTTTTCCATCTAAAAAAATTAGCACTTAAAGCTTGTTACAATAAATAATTCATGCAATGTTTTGAGTTGAAGATGTGACATTGTTTAAAGGTAATAATAGGACCCCCTTAATGATCAATATTTAAATTACAGCTACATTTTAGACCTTAATAAACAGGAATGGCATCTTATGAAACAATTAAACGAGGTCTCTTAGTTAAGATCTAAATTATATAGAGCATCTCGATTTCTAAAACATCCCTGCCAAAAAGCAGCTTACCATTCTCATCAAGCATCAGGTTTTTGTTTTACACCATTTAATCATTAACCGAAACACATTCAGTCCAAAGGTTCCATCTGCTGTGTTTAGAGCCATTCCGACAGATGTTTCCTCTCCATGATCAGCCAATCCCAGTGTGTTTCCCCCCAATGATGTCACTCGCCATCAGATCCCGAAGGAGACCCCGCATCACCATCCGCATCCCCTCCATTCCCGACTCGCCCTCCATCGGCTTCTGTGTGGTTGTCTTTTAACTATTAATATTAGAATTTAATTCAGTCATTTTGTTTTGTTTCTAGGGAAAAAAGAAACATGCAAACACCAGAGTAAGTGTTTCCCTTCTCCTGTGGTCTTGACTTTTCTTTCTCCTGTTTTCCTCTTTATTTTGGATAGGTCTTGTTTTTTTTTATTTCGTCCCTGTTTTGTTATCCATCATGGTGACGTTCATTTCCATCTCATCCATCCCATCATCTTCTGTGTCCCCATGATGTCATCAATGGGCAGCTGCTTAAGTGACAGAGATAAATGTCAACTTGAATATGATTCTGAATAATTCATAAGATTATCCAAAAGTCCAAATATTCATCAAAACATGAGAGATGTAGAGAATTGATATAATCCTTCCATGTTTGCATTGCAAAGGCAGATATTGTGTATTCTGCTTTTTTGTGCATGATTGTATTTGGTTATAATGGTGATTTACAGTTAAAGTTATTAGCCCTCATTTTTTTTTTCTTTCTTAAATATTTCCCGAATTATGTTTAACAGAGCAAGTAATTTTTCACAGTATTTCCTATAATATATTTTCTTCTGAAGAAAGTCTTATTTGTTTTATTTCGGCGAGAATAAAAGTAGTTTTAAATTTTTCTAACACCATTTTAAGGTCAGTAATATTAGCCCCTTAAGCTATATATCTCCGTCTACAGAACAAAGCATTGTTATTCAGTAACTTGCCTAATTACCTTTACTATTTCCATTTTAACCTAGTTAAGCCTTTAAATGTCACTTTAAGCTGTATAGAAGTGTCTAATAAAATCTTGTCAAATTTTATTTACTGTTATAATGACAAAGATAAAAGAAATCAGTTATTAGAGATGAGTTATTAAAACTATTATGTTTAGAAATGTGCTGAAAAAATCTGCTCTCCGTTAAACAGAAACTGGAAAAAAATGTACAGGGGGACTAATAATTCTGACTTCAACTGTATATACTATATAACTACAGCTTAACTATGTTTATATATTATAACTAACTTTTAAAAGCTTTTAGTTACTAGTTAATTAGATAAAGTTATTAGTAGTCCCATACAGAATCTGCGTGTACAGAAATCCGCAGATTTCCTCCGATTTTTTTGCCCATCATTAAGTCTATTTATTTACTTGTGTAAATGTGTCGATTTAAATTTATTCTGTTAAAATAATTTCAGTAATATTATTGAATAATATGAAAGTGTTTATGTGATTTATTTAAAATTCGCTTTTCAATCTTTTTGGAGATATATTACATGAGAGACTTGCTTTGTTTCCCGATGTACAGTTGAAGTCAGAATTATTAGCCCCCTTGAATTATTAGCCCCCCTGTTTATTTTTCCCCCAATTTCTGTTTAACATAGAGAAGATTTTCTTCAACACATTTCTAAACATAATAGTTTTAATAACTCATTTCTAATACCTGATTGATTTTATCTTTGCCATGATGACAGGAAATAATATTTGACTACATATTTTCCAAGACACTTCTACAGCTTAAAGTGACATTTAAAGGCTTAACTAGGTTAATTAGGTTAACTAGGCAGGTTAGAGTAATTAGTCAAGTTATTGTATATTGATGGTTTGTTCTGTAGACTATTGAAGAAAAAAATAGCTTAAATTGGCGAATAATTTTGTCCTTAAAATGTTTTTTAAAAAATTAAAAACTGCATTTGTTCTAGCCGAAATAAAACAAATAAGACTTTCTCCAAAATATTATCAGACATACTGTGAAAATTTCCTTGTTCTGTTAAACATAATTTGGGAAATATTTAAAAAAGAAGAAAAAAAATTCTAAGGGGGCTAATAATTCTGACTGTATAAGTGGATCTAAATGGATTTGCATTAAACTTTTATTTTTATTTTATGTATTAAGTTTTTAGTTTTGATACTCTCAAAATCATTCCGCATAAATCCGCAAATTATCTACAAAATTCTGAGCAGAAATAGAAAAAAATTCTACAAATTCTGTCTGGCTCTAGTTATTAGTATTTAATACACATGATAAAAATCCTTACTTTTACGAATTTGATAGTAAATCAATAATGTGCACCTTTTGTAAAGCTAATAATAATAATAATAATAAATTGTATTTATAATGTGCTTTTCCAACCCCAAAATGCTTATAAAACAGCAAAAAACATCAAAGCACAATAAAACAATAAAAGACAGTGAAAATAAAAGATGTCATAAATTAAAAAGCTGCTTACAAAAAGCGTTATACAATTGAATTGAATACTGCTCAGTGAGATTATCCAAAAAACAAATATTCATTAAAACGTGAAAAAAAATGTAGATAAACAATAATAGTCTTCCATGTTTGCATTGCAGTGGCAGATATTGTGTAGTCTGCTTTTTTCTGTGCATGATTTTATTTGGTTATAATAGGGATTTACAGCTGAAGTCTAAATTATTAGCTTTTTTTTATATTTCCCAAATGATGTTTAACAGCGCAGGGAAATGTTCACAGTATTTCCTATAATTTTTTTCTTCTGGAGAAAGTCTTATTTGTTTTATTTCGGCTAGAATAAAAGCAGTCTTTAATTTTTTTATGAAACATTTTAAGGTCAGTATTATTAGCCCCTTAAGCTATATTTTTTCCTATTGTCTACAGAACAAACCGCTGTTATACAATAACTTGCCCTAACTTACCTAATTACCCTAGTTACGCCTTTAAATTTAACTTTAAGCTGAATACTAGCATCCTAAAAATATGTAGTGAAAATTATTTAATGTCATCAGGGCAGTACATAATACTAATACTAATAATTTGTTATTAAAAATGAGTTATTAAAACTATTGTGTTTAGAAATGTGTTGATCAAATCTTCTTTCTGTCATACAGAAATTGGGAAAAAATATACAGGGGGGCTAATAATTCAGGAGGGCTAATAATTCTGTCTTCAACTGTATTTGCTCTGTCAGCATTCAGCTGGTTCACCACAGCTCCATTCAGAAGTCCACTAAGGAGCTCCGCGGGATGTCGAAGAACCGGGAGATTTCGTGGCCTCTCTCCACACTGCCAGTTTTCCATCCTGTGAGCGGAGAGGTGGTGCCGCCGATCCATCCTGACAACTACGAGACCACTAGCATGCCACTTATGCAGACGCAGACGTGAGTATCATTCTTCTGCTTTATTCATGGGTTCTGGGTGGAGAACGGGGTTCCATATAGAAAATTGATCTATGGACGTATATCCACACGACATGCTAGTTTATATTTGGATTTCACATTTATCAAGTATATATATATATATATAGTATATGTATATACATTTATCAAGTATATATGTTTCAAAATATGGCAAAAATGGCTTTATAGGTATTTTTTTTCAACAATTGGAATTTGCAATATCACACGGGTAGCAGTGTGCTATGGCTGTAAATCAGCACTGGTGGGAGGTGTGCATTGGCGGCCGAGTGTCTTAGCGTCTCACCAGTGCTGATATACAGCCATATCGCACTGCTAGGAGTGTGATATTGCATTTATACAACAGTTTGACAGCACAATCTTGTACATAAAAAAGAAAATCAAACACAGAAAGTCTAAAACCCTTTTGTATTAGGAATTACTTTCTTCCCCCATTCATTCACATCTGCAGCTGATTTCAGAACAGCAAAAGTCGTTACTAATTCACCAACGTCACTTTTGAGCTAGTGTTTTAATGATTCTCTATCGCAGGGGTGGGCAAACTCGGTCCTGAAGGGCCGGTGTCCGGCATAGTTTAGCTCCAACTCTAATTAAAAACACCTGAACATGCCAATCAGTGTCTTCAAGATCACTAGAAATCTATAAGCAGGTGTGTTTGATGAGAGTTGGAGTTAAACTGTGCAGGACACCGGACCTCCAGGACCGAGTTTGCCCATCCCTGCTTTACAGTGTAATGTGAAGCGGCCCTTCTGGTGTGTGACTCCCTTAAGGTGATGACAAAACAGCAAATTTTGATTACATTTTAAGATCATATGGCTGAACGTGACATGAAATGCCATCCGTCTACAGAGATTTCTCACCAGACTGCTGCTGTGTTTGCGATAAGGAGGGACAAGGCTGAATCCAGCTTCTTATTCGCAGCTTCTTATTGACTCTATCCGGTCCACCTTAAAAACCACGAGGCTTCCGTTTTTCAGCTTTTTAATTTGCGCTCTAGAGAACACACTGAGCAAGGGCTTATTATGCTGTTTTGGCACCATCTTGTGGATAGACAACGTCAAACGCCGTCGACGAGCTCTCAGAAATTGTAAATATTTCAAAATAGGCAATATTCTTGCAAAACAACTACATTCTCGACTAAAAAGCCTCAAAAGTATATTTGGTTGGCTAACAGCAGTAATATTTGTCAAACTGTAGTGTCTACTTGTTGCTGGCTGTATGTGGGCGGAGTAATACACAAAGGGTAAAGAGGCTGTAAGGATGCTGATATTACTTAAATATATCACAGCTATCAGCCAATCAGATTTGAGATCCAGACAGAACTGTTGTATATATATATATATATATATATATATATATATATATATATATATATATATATATATATAGTTGAAGTCAGAATTATTAATCCCCTTCAAGTTTTTTTTCTTTTTTAATTATTTTCCAAATGATGTTTAACAAAGCAAGGAAATTTTCACAGTATGTTTGATAATATTTTTTTTTCTAAAGAAAGTCTTATTTGTTTTATTTCAGCTAGAATAAACGGCTTTGTTGTGCTCAATTCCTCTACATATACTTTTTTATTAATTAAAATCAGTCCTAAAAATGTGTTAGATATGAGGAAAATGTTGAATCTATTTCACACTGACGCTGATATCATCAAATTTGACTTGAATCACTTTTGACCTCTAACTGGGCTTCAAAACATACATGATTCCAGACTGACCTGACCTGAATGTTTTTTAATGGCTGTATATTGGAGCAGAATGTGTTATTAGGGTTAAGTAGAGTTAAGAAAGTAGGTTACTGTAATCCAATGTTTATATCATCCAAAACAAGCGTGAATCTCTCAGTGCGCTGGTATTAGAGCTTAGAACTGATCAAAACAACATATGTATTTGTTGCTTGTATCATCTACAAGAGTGACCTTTTTATGACATGCTATTACTGCTTTTGGCCATTGGTTGTTAATGAATAAATGTAGAAATCCTTAAAATGATCTATTAGCAACGAAAAAACAAAACAAATCAAATAAAAAATGTGCTTACTCTTTTCTGAATGCGTCATGAGCATAATAACTAATGACTAAATCTTTAACAAAAACAACTGCAAAATACTCACAAAACAAATTAATATGCATCTTTAACCTATTGTTGTCGTGTAAGTACAGCAGTTTAACCTTTACGGCGTACAGGATTTAACGGCAATTTAAGTTTAAAGATTTGATTGATTAGAAATAAGCAACTGTGGTCATTTGTTCATGAGTCTGACAGAGATTGTGATGCACAGCAGTATACTGTAAGTACAGTAGGTGACACTTTAATATGAGCATTACTGCCGCGCTTTTGACTGCCGCCTGATGCGGAACGCACAGATAAATCACGCTATTCGTGCGTAAATAGCCGCGTGAACATTTGAGTTTACTCGCTTCATTCGCGCGTCAAATCCGCTTCATTCGCATGTCAAATTCCCTTCAGAACAGACACGGATTCGCGTGATGGGCAGGGCTTCTGTCTGCCCGTTGACTGTAGCTTCAATGCTAAATGGCTAACATGGACTTTTTTGATAAAATAACTGTTTATGTGCTTTAGGAAGGCTGAAAAACAGCTTTGATTTGTTTAGGGCCGTGTCTGAGTCCACTAGATCCTTTCAGAGATGCATCCAGCTCTGTGAGCTCCTAAACTCCTCCAGAAACTGAACCTGGATGATGGAGGCTTTCAGCGGTGCTTCTGACTGAGCCGAGCCCAGTTTGTTACACTGTTGTCGGTGTCAGATGGAGGATTTCCCCCGGCACACCAACAACAGGTGTACGTCACAATCACGCCCCACAAGAGCAAGCTTCTGATTATTTAATTCGGCGCGAATGTCCGCTGAAGTTCAGATTTTTTAACGCGCAAAAAACTCAATTTGCGCGATGCCATTCGCACATATCGCAGCATTCGAGCAATTTGCATCATTCACCCACATTTCATTCATCATTCATCATTCGCACGTATCGCGCCGCAGAATGTCTATTCGCACGTTTGCATTGACTTAACATGTAAATCACTCGCGCTTGACGCTCCTTCCGCGTCTGGTGTGCACACAGCATAAGAACGTGTTTTTTAGGTATGACCGCAGTTTGTGACTATGCCGCAAGGGGGCACAAAGGAACAGACAGAAATAGCCTATACAGTAGCTGTAAATACTCTGCTACTTGCAAATAAAAATAAACAATAAAACAAAGCAATATAATTTCTTCATTAATCATTAAAAACTTGTTAACAAGCTGTATTATCATTGTAAACTTGTTAAGTGCAATGAGGATCCATTTTGCAAAGTAGAATTAAAGAAATAAAAGACAACTAAAATAAAAGTACAAACATAAATACAAATAAGTCGGCCTAAATAAATAAATAAAGCAGAGTTTCACGCTAAACATAGAGAGATGTACAGTGTTGGTTATTTTAAAGTCAAAGGACTAAGACAGTCAAAAAATAAGCTTTTTCATTTACAAGAAAGCTGAATTCTGTTTTGCAAGAACACAACTGAATGTCACACTGGTGTTTTTTGTTCAGGATGAATCCCCTGAATGAGTGCTAATAATCGTGACCAACATTTTGTGTTTATTTACAGAAATTTACAGAATCAGATCCAAATACCACAGCAGCAGACTTCTGGTAAGTGTATCATCATTTATATTAGATTAGGTCAGATTAGATTAGATTAAGAAGCTTTTCATCCCATTGATATGAACAACACCTTCTGGTACGGGAGTAGCCTGAAGCATTTTCACCTGGTCAAAGCAAGGAGACATTTACACCTGGTCACTTCATGTGTTTTCTCTGACTGGACAGCTGATTTGTGAAAACATTTCCATTTACACTCGAGCACATACATTTGTGTCCATCAAACAGATATAATTCAACTTTCGCACTATATGCTAATTTAACAAGGTTACACTGAATAACGCATCAGATTTTCTTTAAGATATATTTTTGGCTTTTATTTAGGTAAGACAGTAATGAGACAGGAAGTGAAGCGGGAGAGAGAGAGAGAGGGGGGGATAGGGGCGGGAAGTAGAGATCTGCGCGGGACTAAATTTTGAATCCCGCTCCCGCCCACACCCGCCAGGTTTTAGCCCGAACCCGACCGCTCCCGCCTATATTACAGTTTTTCTCAATTGCTTGTATGCAGTTGTCAACTGAAACTCCACATTTTCAAAACAGTTAACACACAGGCCTAAACAGCGGCACTCATGGTCAAAATGACACATTTTGCTTGCAAAAGGCACATATTGTGTCAAAACATTTAACATATGCAACAAAAGCTAGTTTTACCTTCAAACTACACAACTTGCAAACAAGTATATGAGCTCTTTCAATTAATCATTACACAATGCACAACAAAATACAAAATACAGAACTCAAAATGCACCACCATTGCTTGCCATTGTAGCTTATAGCCAATGGCATTTGTTGTCTCTATTTGGGCTGTCAAATTCGCCTTTTTGCAAAGAATTGGATCAAGAATAAGATGTGCTTTGATTGAATATATATTGAATTCATGACATTTTTCAAACTGTGGCTGAAAACTGAAATACTGTATATAAAAAAACAGACAAAAGTGATAAAATACTGTAAATATTAGAGAAAACACATGTAAACTAATATACTACAGTATAGGACATAGCCATATTGACCTCCTCCATCAATGCTGGCACAGAACAACACAGACCTTCCACCGTTTTTATAAGGTTTGCAGAATGATGGCTAATTGAAGATTTGTGTGAAGGAGTGTCAAACCGGTGCTTCAGTGATTTCATACTGATGTTGGTAGTTTTTAATAGTTAGGAATAGATGGATTCTGTTTGGTTACCAAAACTAAAACAATGGAGTTTGGACTGCTTGAATGACATCTGTGTTAACTGTTTGGAAAATGGTGGGGAAAATGTGTCAACCCAATGAGAAAGGGTTTACACATTTGCAAGACCGGTCCTCTGCTCTGCTGGGATAGTGATGAGGAAAATGAAGAGGAACCTAGTTTCTTTAACCAGGTCAAAGCAAACAAGAAAAACTGTAAGCATTTGTTGTCCCGCTGCCCGACCCACCACATTTTCTACCCGCCGCACCCGATCCCGCTAAAGAGCGGGGTGGAGAACAAAACCGAAAATCACCCAACTATACAGTCCAGACAGCCTATAACAAGCTGTCTGTATAAACACACTCACACACAGCACCAAGCACACACACACAGACAAAGCTCTCTCTCTCTTATTCGCGCGCGCACTAACACACACACATAAGCATTAAGCACACACACAGGCAAAGCTCTCTCTCTCTCTCTCATTCGCGCGCGCACACACACACACACACACACACACACATCTCTAATTCGCACGTGCACACACATACACACACACACAGCAACAAACAAGCTAAACACAGCATTGCGCTATTTTATTTACACACATACATACGCGTGGTCGCTCGGGAGTCGGTAGTGATATTGCTAGACAGCCCGCTCCCGTCCCAAATTAAACCCGTTACCGACCGCTCCCGCGAGTTATTCGGAAATAAATTCCCGCGCAGCAGAAATCTGGTCGGGTCCGGCTGCGCTCGCGGGACAGCTGCGGAAATGCAGACCTCTAGCGGGAAATGTCCTAGAGCCGGCTTCGAACTCGGGACGCCCTGAAGTGCTACTGCACCACGCCAACCACAAGGCGATTGTGTCAACGCGTCAGATTTTTATTAATTTTGAAGTCCCTTATTTATCAGTGGTCGCCACAGCGGAATGACCCACCAACTTTTCCAGCATGTTTTACGCAGAGGATGCCCTTCCAGCTGCAACCCAGTCCTGGGAAACACCCATACACTCTCACATTCACACAAACTCGCACACTACAGCCAATTCAGTTCATCTAATTCACCTAAAGCACTGTGGGGGAAACTGGAGCACCCGGCGAAAACCCACGCCGCAGTACATTATCTGACAGTCAAATAGCCCACAACATATGCACCTTCACATTTTTATTTTAGGAGAAATCAAATTTACATACGTGGTTTCAACAACCCAGATGCGTTTAGACATGTCCAGTTTTGTCTGGAATGCGTCCCAGACCTCCTCCTGAAGTGATCTGCACATGTTGTGAGCTATATGACCATCTCTGAGGGTATTTAGTCCTGTCTTTTTCACGCTCGCATAGCTTTCCCATCAGAAAAAAAACGCATCAAGCGACCAGGTGTGAACAGTCCCCAAATGAGGTTTTAAAACAACTTAAGCCTCTGGTGATTTTCCTCTGGGAGATGAGTGTTGTAGTTTCTTTCCTTGCTCTCTGCTGAACTCCAGTGTTCACATAATGAACTGCCATCAGACGTGTGTGAAATCTCTCTCGTCTAACATGTTGTTCATTCATTCACGCTAACAAAGGAGATAATTATTGTATGTCCACTTTTCGGAGGCTAGAGGCGAGTATCACTCTTTGCATTTGCCGTAATGTGTTTTAGAAACAATAAAATGACTTTTTATGGTCATATTTCTGAACTTTTCTCTCTGTCGTTGTAGGTAAATGGTATTCCTGAGGAGCGGAAGGTGGCCGAAGCTCTGAACTTGTGATTTTACGTGGATTCACTTTTGTATGAGTTTAATTGTGCCAAATGTGCATGTGTACAGTAGCTGTAGCAAAACAAGCTCAACGACTGCATGTTCATGCACACGTCTGGAAGTGTAATATAGGTGTGAGGACTAATGATGGGATCTGAACACTAAAAAAAGACTTCAAAATAATATCAGCATTAATATGTTATCTAATGCGGCAACTTTTTTTATTTAGATTTTTTTTGACCACTTACGGAGTCACATTTAATAAGATCTAAACAGGATTGTTGCTATAAGCGTAAATGTGTTTTGTAAAAAAATAAAATAGTACACTTGACACTAAACAATGACATCGGTGTGTGTTTTTTTTTAATTCTTGGGTGACATTTAAACAGAAATGAGGATTTATGTGTTTTGAGAAGGTTTAAAAGATTGCGTCATTCATATTTAATAGATAATTCACTCTTTTAACAACAACTTACTCATCTTTAACCCTCTAGTGGGATAAGGCCTTTATAAATTTAGTACAAAAAAGGCTATTTTGAAAGATTTTGGCACCCTGTAGACATTGACATCGGTCTATAAATTCACAGAAAGATATCTATAAATTAATAGACTGATGGATTGGTAGATTTATCAACATAAGAATAAAAGACTGAAGACAGAATGATGAAGATAGAAAGAGAACGACAGAAGGCAAAAATAAATATGGAAAGAACAATAGAAACAATGATAGAATGAATGATAGAATAATAGCTAGATAGAACGATGGATCAATAGAAATTGTTCGATGGAAAGAACAATAGAATAAATGATGGAATGATTGAATGATAGATAGATGGATAGACAGATTAAATAGAACAAATGATTGAGCAAGAACCAGATAGACAGAACGAATGATTGAACAAGAACCAGATAGACAGAATGAATGATTGAGAAATAGCTAGACAGAATGATTGATTGAACAATAGATAGATTGAACGATAGATGGAACAATAGAGGATTAATCAATAGCAAATTAGACAGCGCGAATGACTGAACAATAGATAGAATGAATAACTGAATAATAGCTAGATAGACAGAACGAATGATTAAACAACCGATAGATGGAATGAATGTTTGAACAACAGCGAGACAGACAGAACGAATGATTGAAGAATAGGTAGATAGAAGGGATGATTGAACAATATCTAAATAGACAGAACAAATGATTGAACAATAGATAGAATGAGTAACTGAATAATAGCTAGATAGATGGAACGAATGATTAAACAACCGATAGATGGAATGAATGTTTGAACAATAGCAAGACAGACAGAACGAATGATTGAAGAATAGCTAGATAGAAGGTATGATTGAACAATATCTAAATAGACAGAACAAATGATTGAACAATAGATAGAATGAGTAACTGAATAATAGCTAGATAGATGGAACGAATGATTAAACAACCGATAGATGGAATGAATGTTTGAACAACAGCGAGACAGACAGAACGAATGATTGAAGAATATCTAAATAGACAGAACAAATGATTGAACAATAGATAGACAGAACGAATGATTGAAAAACAGTCTGATAGAATGAATGATTGAACAACAGATAGATGGAACGAATGATTGAACAATAGATAGATAAAATGAATGATTGAACAATATAGACAGAATGAATGATAGAAAAACAGTTTGATAGAAAGAATAATTGAACAACCAATAGATGGAATGAATGTTTGAACAATAGCAAGACAGACAGAACGAGTGATTGTAAAATAGATAGATAGAATGGATGGTTGAACAATATCTATAGACAGAACAAATGATTGAACAATATATAGAATGAATAACTGAATAATAGCTAGATAGACAGAACGAATGATTAAACAACCGATAGATGGAATGAATGTTTGAACAACAGCGAGACAGACAGAATGAATGATTGAAGAATAGCTAAATAGACAGAACAAATGATTGAACAATAGATAGACAGAACGAATGATTGAAAAACAGTCTGATAGAATGAATGATTGAACAACAGATAGATGGAACGAATGATTGAACAATAGATAGATAAAATGAATGATTGAACAATATAGACAGAATGAATGATAGAAAAACAGTTTGATAGAAAGAATAATTGAACAACCAATAGATGGAATGAATGTTTGAACAATAGCAAGACAGACAGAACGAGTGATTGTAGAATAGATAGATAGAATGGATGATTGAACAATATCTAAATAGACAGAACAAATGATTGAACAATAGATAGAATGAATAACTGAATAATAGCTAGATAGATGGAACGAATGATTAAACAACCGATAGATGGAATGAATGTTTGAACAACAGCGAGACAGACAGAACGAATGATTGAAGAATAGCTAGATAAAAGGTATGATTGAACAATATCTAAATAGACAGAACAAATGATTGAACAATAGATAGACAGAGCGAATGATTGAAAAACAGTCTGATAGAATGAATGATTGAACAACAGATAGATGGAACGAATGATTGAACAATAGATAGATAAAATGAATGATTGAACAATAGATAGAATGAATAACTGAATAATAGCTAGATAGATGGAACGAATGATTAAACAACCGATAGATGGAATGAATGTTTGAACAACAGCGAGACAGACAGAACGAATGATTGAAGAATAGCTAGATAAATGGTATGATTGAACAATATCTAAATAGACAGAACAAATGATTGAACAATAGATAGACAGAGCGAATGATTGAAAAACAGTCTGATAGAATGAATGATTGAACAACAGATAGATGGAACGAATGATTGAACAATAGATAGATAGAACAAATTATTCAACAATAGATAGATAAAATGAATGATTGAACAATATAGACAGAATGAATAATAGAAAAACAGTTTGATAGAAAAAATAATTGAACAACCAATAGATGGAATGAATGTTTGAACAATAGCAAGACAGACAGAACGAGTGATTGTAGAATAGATAGATAGAATGGATGGTTGAACAATATCTATAGACAGAACGAATGATTGAAAAACAGGTTTGATAGAATGAATGATTGAACAACAGATGGAACGAATGATTGAACAATAGCTAAAAAGACAACAAATGATTAAACAATAGCAAGATAGACAGAATGAATGAATGATTGAACAATAGAACGAATGATAGAACTGAATAGATAGACAGAACGAATGATTGAACAGTAGACACAACAAATGATTAAACAATAGCCAACTAGTAGGAATGATAGGTGTCATTAAACAATAGCTAGAAAGACAAAATGTATGATTAAACAATAACTAGCTAGGAGTAATTGAACATTAGCTAGATATACAGAACGTATGATTGAACAATAGATAGAATAGAAAGAATGACTGAATAATAGCAAGACAGACAGAACGCATAATTGAACAATAGATACAACAAATAATTGAACAATAGCTATAGATAGAATGAATGATTGAACAAAAGCTAGACAGACAGAATGAATGGAACAGATAGCCACAGACAGAACAAATGATTGAACAATATAGCTACAGACAACGAATGAACAATAGATAGATAGAGCGAGCAAATGATTGCTATAGATCTATAGATGGACAGCGTTGTGCAGTAAGCGTAAACATCTATTAAAAATGACAAGTTTGAGAAGAGATTTATCATCAACATTGACTGTACAATAAGATAAAGGCATTTTCAAATTAAATGAATATTTTCACAGATTAGGACAAAACAACGAAAGCACACACACACAAAAAAAGATCCTTTGAGGCCTTTGGGGTTTCTTTAAGTTAAACTTATAGCAAACTATACAAATAATCCTTTTATGAACATCGACACGGTGAAGCGTTCAAATAAACATTTACAATCAGTTGCATGAAAGTGCCTGCTGATGGCACACTGTACAAATATAGCTTTTCTTAAAAAACAAAAGCATTTCACTGATGAAAATAAAACCCAGAGGAATAGAACTTGCTTAAAATTCACAGATACCGAACTGCCATGTCATGTAAAATTCAAATGTGATCGTTTCATGATAAATGCAACTTCTGCCGCCAGAAAAGTCTGTATAATAAAGTGCCACTGTTCTCAAATCAGGCCTCAGACAACTGACCTGTTGCTTCACAGTGGCACATAATCTATTTACAGCACTATCAGTGAAAACTGATAGTTAAACCTCTCTCTCTCTTTACATGTAATATATTAAAAATAAAAACATTGACAACAAGCTTCAGTTGTAGCATTTCAAGCAGTTTGAGCGGATATGAAGACACAATAAATAATGAGGTCACTGATCGCAGACAAAGCTGAATTATTGTGAAGTAAACCATGTGAGGAAAGTGCAGGGCTCAAAAACGCCACAGTTTGCAGGACAGACGCTCCTCGCTCAGTGCAACCAGAAGTGGATAAAAAGGACATCGCGCTTTGAATACCTCCACTATTAAGTTCACCAACATCAATAGTCGATCTTCAGGAGTTCATGTTAAAAATAAAACCAAACAAACCTGAAAGTCTCCCGCCTTTCGCATTTTCCATGTCGCTTTCGATTCCATTTTTCAACATCGACGCAAATACGGAGTAAATTCGACAGCACAGAAATGACTGGTTGAGCAGTGGTTCACCTGAAGGAAAAAGCTGCTGGTGTGATATGAACTGTGTGTAATAATACGCAAGTCGAAGACGCGCTGTTAGTTTACATGTTGAATCGCGGGAATGTAACTCCAACTTCACATTTTGCAGTCATGGGCACCAAAAACAAAAAGACACACAAACGCAGACATCTTGTATAAAATACAAACATAAATTATTATTATTAAATACTGTCTGTAAAACTCATCTCAGAGATGGAGCGTTAGTTTGCACACAGTTTCTCGTGCGATTTGTCGAATGCAAGAATCCATTTCACAGGCGCTCCTTGGCTTGAGTTTTGTATTCAGACCAATGGCGTTAAACAGATCCCTGGATTGATTCCTAGGAAATAAACGTTCTGGGCTGCCTTTATTCTGATGTACTCCGGATTGCTTTAGTCTTTTTGGGACAGTGTCAGTACCAGCACTAGAAAGACTCCAGCTCCCAGCAGTCTCTTCAGCAGAGGCCCGCTCTCTTTAGGGATGGCCACCTGGGCCAGGTCATTGGTGATCTGGGAGATTTCATGAGCCACGCAGACAAAGATGAAGGTGCTGACGATTATGTTTAACGTGGGGTTTCCGGGAATGAGGACCAGGATGCCCTTGGTGTCTGCTGCCAACCAAATGTGATACTGGCATATGAAGAGCTGGTGGAGACAACGGGAAGCATGTTAGCATAACTTTAAAATCCGCTCAGCTCTTTTAAATAGTAATTAATTTGGACAAAATGTTTAATTTACACACCCTCAAGCTATGCTCTGTGTGACTTTCTCTCAGACAAATACAGTAGGAGGAGCAGCATTACATTTTATCCTGGCTCATCCATGCTGTTTAATAGTATTAGAGACTTTTATTTTGAAGCTTCAAAAAGTGCAGAATTCTGTCTTAAAATTAACCCATAAGCCAACAGGAGGATTAATGCATGTCTTGTCACTGAATTATTTAAATTTACTTAATTATAAACTCCAGTCATTGACTTCCATTGGTAAATGTGCGTTATGTGAGACTGACGTACCGTATACCACGCATGATTTAAGACACATTCATAGCAGATAATGAACCACTTAACATAGAAGACGACAATGAACAAGAAAACCAGTTGGCTTCACGATATTGTATAACATTATACAGCATATTACAATGCAGATACATGCGTCTACCAATGTTACGTCATTTGAAACACAGGAAGTCAGTCACTGAAGTTTATCATTTAAACACTAAGATATTTGTTCCAAAAAAAAAAAAAGACATCAATCTGCTTTATAAGAGATGCGTTAACCCCTTGGTGATAAATGATTATTATTATGTTTTTTATATTTATGCGCTTTTTGAAGCTTCAAAATAAAAGTCTCTATCCAACACAATTATATAGCATGGAAGAGCAAAGATAAAATTAAAAACTACTCGGGACTGTGTAGGTCTGAAAGTTAACTCATATACACAAGTAATGGCTTGAGGGTGAGTACACTATTCCTTTAATAGGGTCTTAAAAGGGGAAAAAAAAAGTAAACATTAGAAGCAAAGAAAATTGTAAAAATGGAACTCAATAGTTAGCGTAAAAAATAAAATACATTAAAAAAAATTACAAAAATTAAAGTGAACAAATATAAATTTAAAAATGTCTAAATTATTTAAATAAAATAAATAAAATGTAGATAGATGGATAGATAGACAGACAAACAGAACGAAATATTTAAATTGCTTGATGTTTTACCCCAAAAATTAAAAACAATAAAATAAATTAAAATAAATTATTTCTACTTAACCTAGCATTTACAGAGATATTTTTATGGTTGGTTGTAATGAAGAGGATATTTATTTATTTTTAAATGTTGGAAACTGGTTGGATAACTTCCTAAGAATTTAAAATGACAAAGTTTTTTTTTTTTGGTGGGGGTGTTTACCACTTTATAAAAATTCAATAAACGTCACCATACCTTCACAACAGAAGGTACTCTAGAAGCATAAATGTGATGATTTAGATTTGTTAAATCATTTAGTGTTCTTATTATGCTTTACATAGGCCTCTGGTGTCCCCAGAATGCATTTGTGCACAGAACATTCATTACAGCATGCTGTTTTGACAAAAAAAAAAAAAAACTGTTTAAACATTGGTAAATGTGACTGCACACTAATGCTAAGTTATTATAATGATTTTTAGTCAGTCATGTAAACTCATGTAAAGTTTTTTACATGTCGATTTTCAAAAACTCCACTGCAATTAGATCACTGCAAATGCATTTAAATTTTATTGTAGAAATAACATGCATTGGAGCAGTGATCATAACTGACAGTGCACCTGAAATACTGTGCAAAAACAAGATGTTGACTGTAACCCAGAATATTCCTATAAAAGCTTATTTGAGCAAAGCTTGTACTCTCTCACCTCTAGGGAGATCTTTCCAAACCATGCAAAGAATGAGCTGTACAAAGAGCGAGCGTAACCAGGAATATTCCGGATCAAAATGAAAGCCAGAATCTGTGGGCAGAAAAGGCGTAGAGATGAAAAAGTCAGCAGCCTCAAAAGCACAACAGATCCAAACAACAACAGCCTCCTGTGAAAGAGAAGCTTTATTTTAGGTTATTAAATATTCTTTCTGTTACAAAAAAAAAAAACAAAAAAAAAAAAAAACACATGACTGTTTAAATGGGTTACTGGAGAAGAATCGGTAACACTTTACAATAAGGTTCATTAGTTAATGCATTTACTAACATGAACAACACATGTACATTTGAATGTTAATTATGCTCAGGTAACTCTATGCTTGTTAACATTAGTTAATGCACTATTTGTTAACATGAACTAAAAATGAACTACTGTATTTTCGTTAACTAACGTTAACATGAACAAATACAGTAGTAAATGTATTGTTCATTGTTTGCTCATGTTAGTAAATGCATTAATTAACATTAACTAATGAACCTTATTGTAAAGTGTGACCGAAGAATCTTCACCGTTCATGTTACTGGTTAAATTATAGATATAATGGTGTAAAAGAATACCATATGAATAGCACCTATTGTGATGGGTACTTGCCTGCACAACAGAAATGTATGGATGCATCTCATTACACTCGGACTTGTTTTTGCACCCACTGGCCCAAATGGAGTACGTCTGCCAACAAAAGAAGCTACTGTGAAGTAGTCAGATGTGCTATTATTCGGCCCTCATAACACATTCGAAATCTGTATGCTAATTTTGCACTCCAAGTCCATTAGGCTACAAAGGATTTGAATTTATAAATAATTTTTTCAACTAAAACCCTTTTGCATTTCAAACAAAACGTCTAAATTAATAATGAATATATTAAATAAAAAAGTAAAAAAAAAAAAAAAAAAAAAATTTCCCTTGGTATTGCTATAAACAAACTAAAACTAATTTTACATATCAAATTACATCAAAACAATAAAGTATAATAATAATAATAATAATAATAATAATAATATGATATTTATGAGTACTTTAATATTTGTTTAAATAAGTCCTTGAATAAGTAATGGATTGCTTAAAAATAACTTTAGAATACTTCATATTTATATACTTCAATAAATACTTGTTTTATTTCTCAACGCATCACCAACTTTTGCAGTATTCAAAAATAAGTACCAAACCCCCCTCCCTAAAATGCATCTCTTGTGTGAAATTAACCCAGATTTGAATGCATTATGAAGGCGAATTCTCTCAAGTAACAACTGAATAAGCCTTACCATAAAAGAAACGACAGAAACAAAGAGCAGACAGTTGGAAATCTTGTTGGAGAAGAGAGGCTCTCCTTTGCCTTCAGACAGCAGCTGATATTTCTGCAGCAGCAGGTAAATGAAGGCAAACAGCATCCCATTGACCACAGCCTGCATCCAAAAGAGTGGAGAGAAGACATCAGGATGTGACGCTTCAAAATATAGCAACTTCATTTATAAAAGAAATTTAAAAAAAAAAAATAAAAATGTTTAACATACAAATCGGTCCAGTTTCCACCTGAACCACCACTCATGGATGCTTCCTTGCAGTTCAAAGAGCTTAGAAAGAGGCCATACAGAGAAAATGCCCTCAAACAGTTCCTGAAACACAAAATTACATCAGTTAAACCAGTGGTTCTCAAACTTTTTTCACCAAGTACCACCTTAGAAAAAAATTGTCTCTCCAAGTACCACCTTATGACGCTATTTTTTAACCAGTATTAAAAAATAGCGTCGTAGGCCTAATTAAGCCGCTACAGGTGTGCACAGTTTAAAAATGATGCAAATTAATTCCTATTATTAAGAATATGTATTATTGTCAATCACTTTAAACATTTTTAATAGTCTGAACATTAACTGTGCTTGCAGATTAAAAAAAAAAGTTTTAGTCAAAATGTGCTTTTAAAAGTTCATTAAAAATTACCAGTTCTTAAAAAGTAAAAAGAAAACTGCTGTACTTAAATCTCAAGTATTCATAGTAGCCTATTCATCAAAAGCTGGAGATGTTGCTTGGACCTTATGAATATAGGCTATATGTCATATTCCTACACTTTCAGACAAATCTTGAAATATATGTTAAATGTACATATGACAGGGTTCATACAGGCACAGCCTAATGAAAATCAAGGAATTTTAAGCACTTTTTCCAGCACCTAATTTTTTTTCAAGACTGACATGTTATGTATTGAAGACCTGAAATGTATTCTCAGCAACCCATAAAACACTGCATACGAATAGATACAAATAAAAACCATTAATAATAATATGTATTAATCATATATTATTATTATAATAAACCTGCACTAAATGCTTGTGATATCTTTTTTGTACTCAAGTAAAATTACTATTACACTGCTAAAATAACACAAATTTTAGTAAATAATACTAATATTAGGTAAAAGTACTCTTTTAAAAAGTACTAGTTGGTTACTTTTGAAAAAAAAAAATCAGATTTATATTATGAAATCACGTTTTTTAAGTTTAAACCTGATTGAATGGTTTAATTGCTTAAATCCCAAAGCTACATGTATAGGAATTTGCACTAACAAAGGAAGTATGGTCAATTTTTCCTTTCATGACAATTAATCTTTTTCAAAAGCACTGTTAAAACTACCACATAATCTTAAAGGCCATAGAGACACTTTTTGCCCATTTTTAAACGATATTTTCAAGCTTTGAAAGGTTAAATTAAAGTATATGGTAAAAAGATTTAAATTTAGCCTTTTATTTACATTTGTTACACTATTTTTCTTTACAATATGGCAAATTTGTTTCTTAAATAGCTGTACATCACATGTAGATTTATTTTACACTTGATTTTAATCTAAAATAGGAACTTTAAAAAAAATACAAGTACACTGTCAGTAAAAAAATAAAACAAATGGCTTCATTTTACTTGAGGTATTTAAAATGTGACAACAATACATTTATCAAAGCAGTGCTTTAAGAGTCTTATTGTTAATTTTGATAAATAAACAAGTACAGTAACAACGGATTGCTTTGACCTGTAATGCTTTAAGACAGATCAGAATACAGCTAAATGTATAAATCACACAAATACCTCATCCAGAAACATTTCCAGCATAATTCTTTTGTCGTAAAGAAACAAAAAAAAATTCCACCTTTGCTAAAAGTAAGTTTCACTTTACAACACAGCCAAACAAGAAGACCATTAGCATTGTCATCGATCATGCATCAATCTAATTCTAAATACTTGATAACTTTGAATACTTTTGACTAAATTTAGTCAAGGAGCAAAGATAAATAATGTCTACTTTAATAGTGGAGAGATCGCGATTATATTCAATCTGAGCACACAGGCGATCATGAGAGGTCTTGCAGTTCATTTGAAAAAAGCATATTTAAGAGCTCGCATATCTGTTTTAGCGATTTGCGTACATGACTGCGCTGTCGTGTTAAAATAAAGCACTCGCCACATTTGCAGAAATGAGTAATTGCGCAATACCTTCATTCCCGTGCCGCCATTCAGAATGTATTTAGAGGAGTGACAGGTCAGAGGCGAGTTGACTGGCTGTCGGAGAGCGAAACGTGTATGTAGATCATCAAAAAGGCAGGAAATATGTCCGCGGTTAAATTACTCTGCTAGACATCTCTATAGTGAAAACATCCGAGAAGCATTATTCCAACAAAACATTTGTTTTTAAGTTGTTTTTTCTGTCTCTGCAACACAGAAAGCCTTTGTCCCGCCCTTACGTTTCACGCAACTAGACAAGGTCGACTGTGATTGGCTACTTTTCATGTCAGTCAAATCACGCTTCAGAATCAATTCTTAAACTTCGGAAACTGATTTTCAGCAGCTTATGACACAATGCACTAAAATAAACATTCTAAGCACAGCGTTGTGATCGTACGCTTCACAAAACAGCCACTGCTGATCACATCGATGTTATATTACGCATTAAAGGATTAAAAGTGTTAATTGTTTCTTTCATTATTCAGCAGTTCCTCCGCGTACCACTTGGAGGAAGCCCGCGTACCACTAGTGGTACGCGTACCACAGTTTGAGAACCACTGAGTTAAACAGTAAAACCACCAGTAGGTGCTGACAAACTCCTTGTTTTAAAGAGGGATTCACCAAGTCATTCCAAACGGCTGATTCATTTAGAAACAAAATGAGGCAGCATTCCAGTTTTTATGCCCTTCACTTGCTAACTTGACTCCTTTTGTTAACTCGGATGCACAACACTGATTATGCTACACCGTGTCCACTACTGGCAGAATATCTGAGTGGGTTTAGGCCATGTACACACGTACAGGGGTATTTTTATAAACTGATACTTTCCTGGTTTTGTAAAAACGATTATAAAAAAAAAAAAAAAAAAAAAAAAAAAGTCTACATGAAAATACAAAAACGCACTGTAACTCATGTTTTTGGCACCAAGCCAACAGGTGGTGATAATGATACTTATGCTGGGTTGACACCAAACAGGGAATTAAGTATTTGCATTAGTACATTGCATACAAATCAATGCAAACGTGAGAACACAGGCAGATTACCATCCTGCAGGCGAATGAAATGTGTGGTTTTGAAAATACCCGTGTTCATGTGGACCAGGGGTGCCCAATCCTGTTCCTGGAGGTCTACCTTCCAGCAGAGTTCAGCTCCAACCCTGACCAAGCACATCTAAACCAACTGAGTAGGATCTGAAGGAGTACTTGGTAATTAAGTACAAGTGTGTTTGATCAAGCTTAAAGCTGAACTCTGCAGGAAGGTAGATCTTCGTGAAAAAAGTTGGGCACCCCTGCCCCAAGTCCAGGGTGTAAAACTAGTGAGCCACAACTCTACAGAATTCAGCTCCAACCCTGCTTCACCTGTAGGTTTCAAACAACCTGAAAGGCTCAATTGGTTTGATCACGCGTTTACTTGGGATTAAAGTGAAACAAGTGCAGAGCTGTGGCCCTCCAGGAACTGAGTTTGACACCTATGGCCTAAACCCTTAGCATTTGGGAACTACACTGCCTGCATTCCAGTCTAATTTTTCATAGCCTTCACTTCCTTCATTGCTAAATTCCCTTGGGCTTAAAATGTAATGAAAGACCTAAAACCATGAGTGCTCAACCCGGTTCCTGCAGATCTACTTTCCTGCAGAGTTCAGCCCCAACCCTGCTTAGCCTGTAGGTTTCAAACGACCTGAAAGGATAAATTGGTTTAATCGGGTGTGTTTACTTGGGTAAAGCAAAACAAGTGCAGGGCTGTGGCTCTCCAGAAAGAGTTTGACACCTATGGCCTAAACCCCTTAGCATTTGGAACTACAGTCTGCTATCCAGTCCAATTTTTATGCCCTTCACTGCTAACTTCCCTCTATCTCAATCCCCGTGGATGTGCATCATTAATTACGTTACACAAGTGTCCACTACTGGCAGAAACATCTGAATGGGTTTAAATGGAATTAATGCTCTAAACCAGAAGTGCTTAAACCTGTTCTTGGAGATCTACCTTCATGCAAAGTTCAGCTTCAACCCTGATTAAACGCAACTAAACCAACTAAAGATGCTGTCACACTGGGCTTTTCTCCCTATACACTTCAATTCATGCACACGCGAATGCGTCAGACCAGAAACACAAGGTCATGCGTAAATCAAGTGACTTCGTAAGACCAATCGAAGATCAAAACATGACCTCTTTTAACATAAATTTAAAATCAGGAGCAAATTGCTGTCTTTTGTCTAATCACCTCATTTAATCCACCCTATTCGCAGTGCCGTACGACAGAATTCCGCATGCACAAACTAGAGTGACAGGTGTGTTTGATCAACGTTGCAGCTAAATTCTGTAGGAAGGTAGATCTCCAGGAATAGGGTTGGTTCCTTGGGCACCACGCTGTTGTGACATAACTACCACAAATAATTCTGGGACGCATAGGTGCAGGAGTGGACAGATGAAGCGTCGTGCTACCTCGGTCAAAATCAAAAGATCGGGGGTATGTCCATGTAAGCTTCCCTTGTTTACTTGAAGTAGAATGAACTTCAAAATGGTGTTGGGAATTCCACTGAGAGAACAAGGGAAGGGAAGTACATGTCTAAAAGTGGACTGGGACTGGAATTATATTCTGGGACATACAAGCGCTGGAGTGGGCATAAGAAGCAAACTCACTCGCTCTGTCAAAACGGAACAGTCAAGGGCATATCAATCAACTTCATTCATTCACTTGAAGCGGAAGACACTTTAAAAATGTTGGCGGGGATTCCCCTAAGAGGAAGGGAATTTGTGAGAGCGTGTCTAAAAGTAGAGTAAAATGCAGCCCAAGTCTTTCTGAACGGGCTACTATGATTCCTTCGAAAACAAATTCATTAATTAAAACAAACTTTGAGATGCTCAAATGTTCTACTTTTGAACCATTTTCATTGGTTAAACAAAGCAAATATTGTGTCTTCTTACTCAGATTTTAACTGCTGTAAAATCACCATCGCATGTGTTCAGGATGACATACAGCAAAATCAGACTCTTGTAGATTTGATATTCTTACTTAGAAATATAAACATTAAAAACCAAGAGAAGGATATGTTTTGCTGTCACCTCACCTGCGAGTATGCAAAAAATCCGATGAAAAGAAGCAAACCCAGAAGTTTCAACAACAGGGCCAGATTCCAGAATGCACTACCTGTACATTGAGAAAAGAAAGGGGAAACGATGCTTTATGAATCCAAATCAATTTAAAAGCCATTATGTCTGCTAAATTAATAAATGCTAATACTGTAATATGACTTTAGTTACCGTTAGCTTGCTTTTGAAGAATCTGTGGCCACAGTGCCATTGTGGCATAAATAACTGCAAACCAAAAGGTGACCAGAGGCACAAAGTAATAAAACTGATAAGGCCTGTCCATAACCAGACACAGCACCACCACAAGAAAATTAAGCCTGAAGAGAACCTGAAAGACAAAACACACCTCAATAATTATTGATTTATTAGCGTGCAGTTATGCATTCGAATTATAAACTGCAGCCATCATTATAGCGCACTGAAGAGTCATTCAAAGTTTGGCCGAGAATTAGGATCTCATTATGAACAAGAGATGATCCATAATTTATTCATTAATTTTCTTTTTGGCTTAGTCTCTTTATTATTCAGGGGTCGCCAAAGAAGAATGAACCGCCAACTTACCCAGCATATGTTTTACACAGCGGATGCCCTTCCAGCTGCAACCCATCACTGGGAAACATCCATATACACTACGGGCAATTTAGCCTACCCAATTCACCTAGATCACATGTCTTTCGACTTGTGGTGGAAACTGGAGCACCCAGAGGATACCCATGCGAACACGGGGAGAACATGCAAACCCCACACAGAAATGCCAACTGAGGCGATGGTGCTACCCACTGCAACACCGTGACACCCCATGATCCATAATGATATAACTTAAACAATTTAGTTTATTAGAATATCTGACAATTCCAAATATAAAAAAAGCTATTGATTAATGCTAAACATTTGATAAGACAGATTTTTTTTTTCACCCTCCTCTCTGTTTGCTCAACCCTAGGTTTCTCATTGGTTTATTATTCTGTCCATCATCATTATGACGCTCTCCGGTTCCACCAATCCCAGGTCGAGCCGCAAGGATTTAAAGCCCTGTCAGACCAGTGTGTGGTGTGCGCCCTGCCTCGGCGTACCCTTTGTGCTCCACGCAATTTGTTTGTGCAAATGCTTCGTCTATTTTGTGATCTCTCAGTTACTGTGATAATTCGAGTTGCTTGTTGAACTTCGTTGGCTTTAAGTAACATAATATGATGATGGTTGTGTGATTCTAAACTAAGATTTAACGGACTTATCCGGTTTGTTTTGTTTTAGTTTAGATTGATGTTTTGTTCGATTAGTTTGAGTGTTTTGCCACCCGTGTATTTTGAGTTTTGATTTTTTAGTTTGATTAGTTTAGTTGGGGTGTCGTACACACTGAAGATCTCGGTTTTTATTTGCGTTTCTTTTTGACGCCTAGTTAAGATATTAGATTTAAGGATTGTTTTGTTTTGTTAATTTCTTTGATTTGGCTTAGGCCGTACTCACACTAGGTACAGTTGCCTCGAACCGGGCCAAAGCACGCTTGACCCCCCTCCCGTCTCCCCCGACGGCCCGCGCTCACACCATATCGGGCCTCGGCACGCTTACGTCATCGCTGCTGCGCTGTTCAGAAGCGCTCTCTATGGCAAGCCTTTTTAGCATTTAAATCTTTGTTCTGACTCCATAAATATATTTAGAGATATCTCTAATTATATTTTGACTAGTCATAATTATAATTCGACTAGTCAGAATAACAATTAGAGATATCTACAATTGCAATTGTACTAGTACGAAATCAGATTGGAGATATCTGCAAATATATTATGACTAGTCATATTCCTCCATTGACTTCCATTGAAAAATATTTGCAGATATCTCTAAATGAGTTTTGACTAGTCACAATTGTAATTAGAGATATCTCTAACTGAGTTTTTACTAGTCATACATTTGGAGATGTCTTTAATTCGTAATATTTAGAGATATTTACAAATATATTTGAAGATATCTCTAATTAATTTACTAATAGTCGAATTACAGTTGTAGATAGCCTATCTTGAATTGGATTTTTGACGAGTCAAAACTCAGTTAGAGATATCTGCAAATATTTTTCAATGGAAGTCAATGGAGGAATATGACTAGTCATAATATATTTGCAGATATCTCCAATCTGATTTCGTACTAGTACAAATTGTAATTGCAGATATCTCTAATTGTCATTCTGACAAGTCGAATTATAATAATGACTTGTCAAAATATATAATTATCTCTAAATATATTTATGGATAGTCAGAACAAGGTTTAAATGTTAAAACGGCTTGCCATACGCTCTCACTCAGCAGCACAGTGGAGATTTCTCTAGTTATATCCTTTCTGTCGTTTGTTATGCAGTGACATGCAGTCAAATATTTCGCCAAACAGTCCTTAGGGATGCGGGGACACACAGTCAGATATTTTACCGAACAGATCCGCCACTTTTGGCGCTCATAAACAATCATAATGCTCTCGTGCTGCAGGAATGAGGAGATCTGCTGAAGGCGCGCAGCTGGCGTGCTGTTAGGAGTTTGCGTCTTTAATAAACTACGGCAGTTTGCGATCACTGAACAGTAAAAATGATTAATAAATCCATATCAAACAGTCCCTTAAAAGTCACGTCTCGCTTTCGGGCTTTGGCGCGTTTCGCGCTCACACACAAGCGTACCGCGCCAAAGCCCAAGTGTACCGCGCTCAGGCACACCTCTTCCAACCGGGCCAGGGCCGGCCAAGTGAACCGTGCTTGAGCCCGATTCAGCGCACTCACACTTCTCAAACGATCCGGGAAACGGGCCTGGGCACGGTACGGATGGCATAGTGTGAGTAGGCCCTTACACTCGTTGTTCTTGTTTAAAGATAATAATTATAAATGTTTTTTTTTTTTCTCTCCCCCATTTATTATTGTTACATGTTTCAATTCAATTATTGAGTAAAGCTTTAAATAAGAGTAACTGAACCTTGCCTCATTATTGATCTGTCGCACACATTACACCTGTCTCACTTAAATGTTACAGCATCCCACTTTAACATCATAAAACACGTAACACTTTTATTAATTACAAAATAAAAACAAATTTATATTACAAAATCTGACATATCTTACAGAATTTCTTTAGTTCATTTTGACCAAGGCTGTTCTTTTTACACATTTTAATATGTTGTAATATTATAAATTTCTGATATCAAAATTCTGGTGATAAATTTAATGCATGCTTGTTGAATAAAAATATAAAATACCATTAAACGTAATAAACGCTTTCTCGTTTATGATTTAACATTTTTACATTTTACAAACATGTCAAACAACCATTATAGAAATAACAGAAAAAAATATAATAAATAAATTAAAATAATGATGAAATAAAATCCAATTACACAAATAATGTGAGGCAGATGTCTACAGTTACGCAACAATCTCAATGTTACAATTAGAGCAATGAAAGATTAGAAACTGATGTTTCAGAGATCAGTCTAAATTATAATCGGACCATTTTATTTGTAACGCAATTGTTTTACCTATAATATAACGCTCTGCTTACTCGTATGGTTTTTCACTCAAATTGAATTATTAATATATAATAATAATAATAATAATAATAATAATAATAATTTGTCACTATGATTTATTTATTTTTTTATTTCATAAACGTTCACAAGTCTTGTAATACCCAAACCAGAGTTATTCCAATGAGTGCTCTATAAAAGGCTTAAACTACAGTTTACAATAGACATCAAAAGTTTCTAGACTTCTGAAAATGGATTTAGCCTCCTGATTTCAGAAGCCCACCATGCATCACTTCTCTAAGCAAACTGCAAAAAAAGATCAGAAGAGTCTGGCAACAAGTACCTGACAAACCCTGTAAAGTCCAAAGTCTCCCTTTAGCCAGAAGAAGGAGAAGTGTCCATATCCTGTTTGGAAGAGATACGCAGCGACCAGCACACGGACGTGCATGTACACCGGTATGAACTGAAGAAACAAACAAAGAGAAGGTTCAGAACCCAGGTAATACTAATGCAATGCAACCTAAAGGAATTGTCTGCAACACTTTACAATAAGGTTGTATCAGTTGAAGGGGTTTGTAGTTAGTTCATGTAAACTCTCATTAAAATGTTCATTAATGATATCCAGCATGAATTTGGATTTTAATAACGCAAATGTTGAACTATGATTATTAAATGTTGTACAAGTATTGTTCGTTATTAGTTCATGTAAATACAGTAAATTCAGTAAATACATTCACTAATAAAATCTCATTGTAAAGTGACAGAATATGAAAAAAAGAAAAACATACTGCGCTGGCTCCAGAAATGTGATAAATAAGAATGACCAGCTGCATCCAGCCCTTCCATTCATCCGTCTGCTCTCGGTTCAAAAGTTTTGTCTGGAAAGAGAAACAATTACAAATGTATAGAAATCTTCATTCTACCTACAATTTTAAAAACACATCACTGATTGTTCAAAGAAATTATTTTTATAAACTCACAGAAAACATCATGCACTGTAAAGAGTGGTTAGCTACTTAAAGCGAGTAAACCAATTGCCTTAGAAGCAAAAAGTTAACTTATAAATGATAATGTATATAAACCTAGTGTAACTTGGAACTTGATTTGAGAATTTTTTTTTAACAAACTATGCAATTGTATAATTTTTGTAAATACACTGTTAACTTGTATTTACTTTTTTTTTGCTGTATTTGTATTTACTACTAGAATAAGCAGGAAAAAAAAGCAGATTCTTGAGATTTTTTGGGGACAACTTAATTTTTTTTATGCTCAATCCACTTAAAAATTGTCAAAACCAATTAACTTAACTAATTTGTATGGGGACAACATTATTGAATGGTGCAGAACCCTGCATTTTTTTAGTGTACACATTTTACAAAGTCAAATTAAAAACTAAGAACTTTCCAGGTGCATTCGCAAACTCTAGTCCTTTTCAAGTGTGGTAAATTACCTTTTTACATACTTCATCACATTATAACAGCTGCTGATTGATATATTATTATATAGGACAAGACAAGATTCTAAGAAAAATGTTTGATGGGATGTTTGCCCCAAGCCCAACACTGAAATTACCGTCTTTTACTCTCTTAAATGTAATTTATTTGCATCTTAAATATCAAATTTAATCTTAAATTCATATTTATTTTCATTTTTAAGGGGCACAGATAGTGGTCATTTTATGCAAAAGAAAAGGCATTTAGTTGATTATATTTGAATGAATTGTAACAACCTATTTAGTAAGATCAATTATTACGATCACAAAAAAGAAAAAACTATTTTTAAGCAGTTCATCCATAATGCAAGCAGCAGATTAAAATTCAAACATTTAAGGATTTTCAGCACCTTTCATGAACCTTGAGACTAGAGCTGCACGATATTTGGTTTGTGCGATAAATACTGCAATATGAATACGGTTTTATCAGATGCCTTAAAAAGGACACTCTTGGGAAAGTCTTCATTAACTCAGATTGATTGCAATTAGGCATGGGACGATAAACGTTTTCAAGGTATACTGCAGTCTGAAAAAGTCAAGGTTTTAAAACCACCAAAATTATATTCTATACCATTTCTAAGGTATGTGTAAGATTTTTTTTTATTTACGTTTTTTTAGGACAACAGTATCTCCTGCTGAAAAGATATCCAAAGGTACGGTTTAAAATTGTAAAGAAATCAGTTTTTTTTTTGTTTTTTTTAAAAACAAATGAAGACCGCACGGCACACAAGTCAATGATTGATGTGAATTATTCAGCCTGACATGTTTAATGCTCCAAAAAGGATTTTAAATGCATCTCAAAATAAAAATATATTGTGTTCAAAAGGGGATTTTTTTTACCCAGACATTTAAAACGAATAAAACACAACGTATAGCCGTTTCACTTTACTTCAGAACGCATTATTATCGCTCTGCAAGTCTAAGAAACATTCATAAATATTCCTAGCAATTCTAATAATGCTGGAGACATAAACGCACTAAAAATTGCACTTAAGCAGCTTTTTATTTGAGAGCGCACAAGAAGATCCGCGCACTCTTGAAGCGGCTTATATTTGAGGGGGTGGGCAAGAAGTTTGTGCACGAGCAGAGGAAATCAGCTATTACATAAATGCCTTCTTGATTTCTATATTGCGCTCACGACAATTGTCATTTATATAAAGCCACAGGTAGTTGGTAGATCTGTCAAAAAAGGCCTGCCACCATAGCTGGAAAAAAAAAATTCTAGGAGGAAACACTGCATGCATAAAAATAATAAACACAATCACAAGTATTTTTGCTTTATGGTTTTGTCAAACACTATTTAGGCACAGAAATTGGAAGAAAAAAAAAATCTAAAAAGTAAAGAAACTCTGCATCATCTTTATAGCATAAATAAATTAAATAAAATGTATCTTTATTAAAAAGATACAAATGGTACAATATATTGTGCCTGAATGCTTTAAACTCTTGAAATGTTCATTCAGTCACAGTCCTTAAAACACAAACTTGCACTTACAAACCCCCCCCCACCCAAAAAAAAAAAAAAAAAAAAAAAAAACTGGCTTCTGGGGTCCGTTCTTTGTACGTGGATTACTCAGTTAGCTGGATTTGGATATTGACGATTTGACACGATCCAGGATCGTTTCGTTCTTCAAAGTTGATCGGGAGCAGGTTCAATTCATATAAACAGGATTAGATCGGCTTAGTTCAAGCAAAGATAATACAGAAAGTATGTTCTGAATTCTGATATTTTCTTACAGTAGTAGTTATATACACTTGGGAAAATAGTAGTTTTTAACTATATATATATAAAGTTATAGTCATTAATAAAATAAATAAAGTTTTACATATTAATAAAACGTATGCAATCTGCACCCTCGAAATGAAAATACAAAGACTGCCACCTGGTGGTGCAAAGAGAAAACTTATTGATATGAACTTTTTAGATCGCTTTAGTACAAATTGTGTATAATAGAAATGCACAATATGTGACTTTTTTTAAAAGCAATAATACATTTATGCAGTCATAAACATGTTTTGACAGTAATATGCCAGTGATTTGATGCTTCACAAAAGTTGCAGACGCCTTTACCAATATCAAAATGCTTTTGGAAACAACCAGTTATTCTTTACACCGATTAAAAACAGTTACTATAATAAAGAAAATCTTTTCTAAATGTAGAACTAAATACATTGATTTGCATTGAAATACATGATGAATACTCTTGTCTTGACAAATGAAAGTGTAAAGCCTGCAGCTTATTGCGTGTCATATTTAACAAGCCGTTTACTGCTAATTTGATGTAATTTTGCTCACATGGATAATTGAATATTAATCAGATGATGTCATTACGCTGCTGTGCCGTCAGCCAATCGTTGCATTGCTGATCATGATTTCGAGGATCGATAGATCTGTCCTTAACAACACACGCAGCGATCTCAGATCAGTTTATCCAGACATTCTAATCTGATTCGCGAACTTGTTTGAAGAACCAAATTAGCGAGAGATCAGTTATCAAGATTAAAAGATCCAGAATCTGCCAAATCATCTTAGATCATTTAAGCGAGGTATGAAGAACGGACCCCTGGTCAACTACATAAACCCATCTCAACATCACAGATCCTGTGATGTGACTATTGCAGATGCACACATTGCAATATCAATGCTGAAGCAATATTTTGTACAGCCCTACTTGAGACTATAAATACAGGTTAAAATTTGCAGTACCTCTTTGCTGTTCTCACTGTAGAAGACACCCAGAACGAAGATGTAGATGAGAGGAATGAAAAAAGCGGAGTGTGTGTAGAATTTCTGCTCCTTCATAAAGATGTCAGCCCGGTCACACAGGTAGAAGTACAGCATGATGAGGCTCATCTTGCCGATGGCCAGTAATGGTCCCTTTGGGTTGAGCTGCCCCACAGCAGCGGGGTGTTTTTTCTCCTCTCCGCTCTCCACATCAGGAGCGGGTCTGCTCTTCCGATGTGAGCTGAAGCCCAGCAGGACGAAGCAGACGACGGACACCAGGAGGACAGCAGCTGCTAGCTTCTGAAGGACGCTTAGCGGAGGAGCGCTCTGACAGCAGGAGCCATCAATGGGCTTCAGGATCTTGTTGCACATGGAGTTCATAAGTACCATGGCGCCCTGACAAAGTGGAGAAATAAAAAAAATGTTAATTTAAAAGGGTCACGTAACACATTTTTTTACCATGTTGACAGTCATATATATGCCCAACATTGCTAAAAACATTATTAGGACACATTTTTTTCACAAAAAAAAAGTGAAAATTGGTTGTTTTTGCGTTATTTTGGGCAAATTCACTCTTTCAGGTTTAAAAAGAAATTTTGAAGCTATGTCACGACAATAAGATCCTTGTGTAAATTCCAGCGTTGAAACTGGTTGTCTGTACTGGCGGGCACAACGTGACGTCTTTGAGTTTTCAGGATTAATTCGGGAGAAAGACTTGATTTGAACCAATCAGTGGGCTCTATTTTGTATGAGATGCAACTTAATTAATATGCATGATAGCTTCGAAGACTGTTTTTACCTGATACAGTGTTCAGAGAAATAACATGCTGTGTTGCCAACCATAATTAAAACTAGTGAAAGAAATAGATTTGTTTGGAGACATGGGTCGTTAGTGTTGCGTTTATAAATGTGCTGCAACAAAGGTTTTCCCCATTCCCCCGCGATGAGTGCAAAGCTCACATGTGTGGATTACAGTGGTCTGCTAACACGCGACAAAAATGTTTGTAATGAACATTTTTTACCTGAGAGCTTTTCGCATCAGGAAATGATAAAATCATGATTTCAGGTTAGCTTATGATGGGTTCAGAGTTAGACTCCACCATAATCAAGCTGATTTTGGCATGATGTGTAGTAGGGATACACAATATATTGGCAACAAAGACAGAAGATTTTATTTATATAAATAAAGTTGCCCATAGAAATTAATAGCTGATAAAGTTAGGGTTTTAAATAAAATATGTTGTTCAATGCATGCGTTTTGTCTGTGCAATCATTAAAAAAAAATATTTGTGAGCTATGATATTGGCTCTCAACATGCAAATCGGTAGAGCTTTGACCGGTATCGATCAAAAATCCTATATTGGTGCGTCCTTGATGTCTAGGCATGAATTGGCATCAATAGTGACGTTTCTTACTCCAGAACAGGGGTTCTCAAACTCAAAATCTTGCTTCAACACACCTGCATGGATGTTTCTAGAAAGACTAGTAAGAGCATGATTAGCTAGGCCAGGTGTGTTTGATTGGAGTTTGATAGGGGGGGACTGCAGGACACCGGACCTCCAGGACCAAGATTGAGAACCACTACTCTAATATCTACAAGTCAGTTGCTAGTTTTGCCTGCTCTTCTGGGGTCCGTTCTTCGTACCTCGCTTAAATGATCTAAGATGATTTTGCCGATCCTGGATCTTTTAATCTTGATAACTGATCTCTCGCTAATTTGGTTCTTCAAACAAGTTCGTGAATCAGATTAGAATGTCTGGATGAACTGATCTGAGATCGCTGCGTGTGTTGTGAAGGACAGATCTATCGATCCTCGAAATCATGATCAGCAATGCAACGATTGGCTGACGGCACAGCAGCGTAATGACATCATCTGATTAATATTCAATTATCCATGTGAGCAAAATTACATCAAATTAGCAGTAAACGGCTAGTTAAATATGATACGCAATAACCTTCCACATTTGTTGTGAGCTGCAGGCTTTACACTTTCATGTGTCAAGAGTGTTCATCATGTATTTCAATGCATATCAGTGTATTTAGTTCTACATTTAGAAAAGATTTTCTTTATTAATAGCCGTTTTTTTTTTTAAAATCGCTGTAAGGAATAACTGGATGTTTTCAAAAGCATTTTGATATTGATAAAGGCGTCTGCAACTTTTGTTAAGCATAATCACTGGCATATTAACTGTCAAAACATGTTTATGACTGCATTAATGTATAATTTTTTTTTTTTTTGTCACACATTGTGCATTTCTATTATACACAAATTGTACTAAAACGATCTAAAAAAGTTCAAATGTTTTCTCTTTGCACCAGCAAGTGGCAGTCTTTGAACTTTCATTACGAGAGTGCAGATTGCATACGTTTTATTAATATGTATAACTTTATTTATTTTATTAATAACTATAACTTATATATATATATATATATATATATATATATATATATATATATATATATATATTTAAAAAAGTTACTATTTTCCCAAGTGTATATAACTACTATTGTAAGAAAATATCAGAATTCAGAACATACTTTCTCTATTATCTTTGCTTGAACTGAGCCAATCTAATCCTGTTTATATGAATTGAACCTGCTCCCGATCAGGTTTAAGCTAGCAGAACTGTTGCCATGACAACAACTCTCGGATCAGCTTTGAAGAACGAAACGATCTTGGATCGTGTCAAATCGTCAATATCCAAATCCAGCTAACTGAGTAATCCACGTACGAAGAACGGACCCCTGAAAAGTTGGTTTAACAAGAACTGAGTCAAAAATAAATAATAAATAATTTGCATAGTGAGAACTAGAGCAAAAACCCACTATAACAACTTAATTTACTAAAAGATTTACTAACAAAATTTAAAAGCACAGTAACTGCAGCTGACCTTACTGCATATTTAGGAATTTACATGTCAAAACAAATTCTGTCCAAATGGAAATAGTTCCTATCAAATGAGAAACACAGTGAAGTTATGCTAGATGAATCAGTTTTTGAATGAATCAAGTGAGTCAACATATCATGCATAAGTCCACTAATATAGCCCACTTGAAAAAAGTTAAATTAAAATGAATGAGTGAATTGGAGCACTGAAGGGATGCAGTTGTGTTTTTCTGACTGATAAATCTATTTTCAACTTGTTAATTTAACAACTGAATAACTTATTTTACCACTACCACCAATACGATTTTACTGTTTAAGCCATCTTGTGGTCAAACATGGAAATTCAGCACATTATTTCTTACAGTCCATTGAGTATTCTCTAGCTGTGGAGTGTGCATTGGTTTTACACTTGTTATTGCAGTGCATTGTGAGATTGATTGAGTGCACTTCAGAACATCCACTATGGCTTCAGACATCACTACAAATGGCTGTACCTCAAAAAGTGCACTATTTAGTTGCATAGAAGGTGATTTCATATACAGCCTTGCTTTGATCGTAAATCAATCAGTCATTTTAAACAAATTATTTGAACTAGTGAATAATTGACACTTGGTTTTAGCATCGCGTCTATCTACCCATGTCATTTACCCTAAACCAGTTAAGGCAGGGGTGTCCAAACTGGGTCCTGGAGGGCCCGTGTCCTGCAAAGTTTAGTTCCAGCCCAAACCCAAATGTTACTCCTAAATTGTGCCATTATATATAAAAATGTGACGGCACTCCATTTAGCAAATCAAAAAAAAAAAAAAAAAAAAGTCTCAACAGAACACTTACAACATCTCTTGTGCTCTCAGGAAGATGCAGGCCGTCCACCGACTGAGAAATGGTCTCCATAGCAGCTTGCCTAGATGCCTCCAGGAATTTGACCTTCTTTTTGCTGGTATTCAGGGTACTAACTGCTGCCTCATTGTACAGATTTATCTGCTCATTTGTGATCATCTTTCGGCTTTCACTTAGCACATCCTCATAAACAGGATCTAAAAGACAAACACAAGACTATTTCACACTGTGCATTTACTGTCAACTACTTTATACATTGCACAAAAAACAAACAATCTATGATCTAGTGATAATTAAAAAAAAATAAAAATTACACACACACACACACACACTACTGTAATTACTGTAGTCTTCAGTGTCATGTGATACTTTAGTAATCATTTTAACACAGTAAATAAACAAAACAGGAGCAAGTGTTCTATTCACCTTGTAGAACCCAGTAGACTTCACTGTGCTCGGCTAGTTTTTCCAGTGTGTCTGCTATAGCTGTGAGGTTTGCCTTGTACTGAAAAAGCGCCTCACTCTTGCCGTTGTGCAACTTAATGGACCACTGTTGGAAACCATACACATCAGTCATTAAAAAGATCTTCAACAATAGCGCCTCTAGGCATTATGACTGCAAACAAGAACTCACCGTAGCAGCACCAATGATGATGACATGTGGTTTGGAAGCAGATCCCTAGAGTTATTGAGAGAGGAGATAAAATCAGAAGCCCGTGATATTATAACTTGGCTCTTTTGCATGCTGTACAATAATATGATTGTCTTTACCTCAGTCCATAACATTAACTGCTCCTTCAAGGAATTGTTCACTTCTGCGTACCACAGGAAATTCTGAAATGGAGACATTCGCAACTTATTTTGATCTGTCATTAAAAAAAATAATTAAAAGGATCTAAATAAAATCAACATTTGCTCAAACTTTAAGAAACCACAAATTAAAATCACTTACCACAGTGGAATCACCATCGACAAAAGGGATGTTCTCATGCTGATGACATAATTTATGCAAACAAAAGGGCGATATATTATTAAACCATCAACAATAATTGATAATAATTATTATTAATGGTTTAAAAAAATAAAAGCTTAGCATTAAAGGGATAGTTCATCCAAAAATGAAAGTTGTCATCATTTACTCATTCTTCACTTATAGGAGGCTGCACGATATTGCAAAAATCTAACATTGCAATATTTCATTTCTGCAATATACACTCACTGGCCACTTTATTAGGTACACCTTACTAGTACCGGGTTGGAACCACTTTTGCCTTCCGAAGTGTCTTAATCCTTAGTGGCATAGATTTATCAAGATACTGAAAATATTCCTCAGAGATTCCATATTGACATGATAGCATCACACAGTTGCTGCAGATTTGTCGGCTGCACATCCATGATGCGAATCTCTAGTTCCACCACATCCCAAAGGTGCTCTATTGGATTGAGATTTGCTGACTGTGGAGGCCATTTGAGTACAGTGAACTCATTGTCATGCTTAAGAAAACAGTCTGAGATGATTGGATGGGTACACGGAGGTCATAAAAAGATGGACATTGTCAGGAACAAAACTCAGGTATGCTAAGGCATTGACACTCAATAGGTACTATGCTCAATTGTTATTAATGGGCCCAGCCTGAACCATTGATACAAGGCAGGATGGTACCATGCTTTCATGTTGTTGATGCCAAACTCAGACCCTACCATAAGAATGTCACAGCAGAAATTGAGACTCAGACCAGGCAATGTTTATTCAATCTTTTATGGTCCAATTTTGGGGAGCCTGTGCGAATTGTAGCCTCAGTTTCCTGTCCTTAGCTGACAGGAGTGGCACCCGCAGAGGTTTTTTGCTGCTGTAGCCCATCCGCCTCAAGGTTGGATGTGTTGTGCATTCAGAAATGCTCTTCTGCATACTTCGGTTGTAACAAGTGGTTATTAGAGTTACAGCTACCTTTCTAACAGCTGGAACCAGTCTGGCCATTCTCCTCTGACCTCTGGCATCAACAAGGCATTTGGGCCCACAGAACTGCCGCTCACTGGATATTTGCTCTTTGCTGACCATTCACTGTAAACCCTAGAGATGGTTGTGCGTGAACACACCAGTAGATCAGCAGTTTCTGAAATCCACCAGCACATCTAGCACTAACGACCATACCACATTTAAAGTCACTAAAATCGTCTTTCTTCCAAATTCGGATGCTCGGTTTGAACTGTAGCATATCGTATTGACCATGTCTACATGCCTAAATGTATTGAGTTGATGCTGATTGGAAATTTGCAGTAACAAAAAGGTTGGACAGGTGAACCTAATAAAATGGTCGGTGTGTAATTTGCGATATAAATACATAATTAACCAGACTGCTTTAATAGCTCTATTTGGAATGAATTAAAGGATTGGTACATTTTCATACTTGGGTGACCTATTCCAATCAATCAATCAATCAATCAATATATATATATATATATATATATATATATATATATATATATATATCTCAAGCATGTTAATGTTTTTAATTGAAGACAACGATGCATTTTTACAGATGTCTTATTTATAACCACTGCAGCATTGCACAAAAACAAGAATTGTTCATCTTAAATGAAAAACTGCAACTGCTTTTTTTGTCTGGGACATATTCTCAAATACCAGAAGTAATCTTCTGGTGAACAGGAACTATTACACCCTTTCCTTTTTAATTTCACTGGAGCCTTTGAGTGGCGCATGTATAAAAGTGGAAATTGCTTCGGGGGCCAGGAGATAAAATATGACTTTGAAGTCAATTCTCACTTTGGTTTGGAATACATTATACCAGCGAACCTAAAGCAGGCTTACGGAAATGAATAGCAACAACAAACCTTGTTCCCAACTTCTTTCACCTCAGGGTTCATCATTTTGATGAAAGAATAGAAGAGCTGACGTATTCTAGAGTCTCCGACAAATGCTATTCTCTTCTCTCTGAGGCAGAACTTTGCTTCACTGAAAGACAACAAAGAGGACTGTAAATTCCAGCCCACCTTTTAACCCAACACCCACAATTAAGGTAAATTAAAGATCCCACAACTTACGTGCTTTTGTACTTGTGTAACATGCACCCATAGGGCTGCCACACATTGTCCCCTAAAAAACGTCCACTGGATAACAGCCAGTCACATGTGTCACTGCCTGAAAACAATGAAAAACAGTTACAGTGAATAAAGCACATTCCACATGGAAAATCCTTTAAGTAAATGTGTGTATGTATTGTGTTGGCTTAAATTAGGATTCAGTCGACTCTCTCAAAAGTGATTATACTAGTCTACTAGTATACTAATCTACCTCTTAAAGCAACACACTGTTAGTCTTTCTTGCAAATATATATTATAAATTAAAAATAAATTATAAAAAGGTGTACAATCTGTGTGCACATACTAGCTGTGTAGTTTTACATTTTGGACATTGAATCTACCTTTTAAAACCAGACACTGTGGACAGGCTTATCTTTCGGAGAATAAAACAACAACTGTAACTAATTAAGTTTACAATAGTTTTACGATTACATTTTGAACATTGTGTCATTTCATGTCACAACATTAAATTTTGCACATTTTAGTAAGTTGCTTACTTTTGATTTAGGTTTTTTTTTTTTTGGTAAACTATACTTGAAAATATAAATTAAATTAATTCAAATTAATGCCCTCAATTCAGATATCAATGCTCTTTTAAAGAGGATTAACAATTCATACACTGAAATACAGACAATTCATAACCAACATGAGAAAATAAAAATTATTAATACTTTTCTGCCATATTTTTACCCAGGCCTAATTATAAATATTTCTTCAGCACCAAACCAAGATATCAGATTTGTTTCTGAACGATTATGTGTGAAGACTGGAGCAATGATGCAAATAATTTAGCTTGCATGAACCTTGATTTTAATGTTCTTTAAATGGAAATTAAATTTAACCATATATGGTTATGAAAATCCTCCTGTTTGCTGTAATGCAACTTTCTTTTAAACAACCATAACAGCAGAATGTGCAAAAATAATAATAATAATAATAATAATAATAAATAAAACTGTTATTAAAGATGCTTGATTTAGCCAATCAGACACTTAAAGTTGCAAAAAGAGATATTTAACTCCTTCCATTCCCATGACGCAGTGCAAACCACATTTACATATTCCCAATTGCAATAAACTTGAAATATACTGCTAAGAGAAAATCCCTCTGAGCAATTCCATGTAAATGTCAACCTTGCCTTAAAAGAAAAAAGCTTTTACCAAAATACGCAAACAGTTTCTAAGTGTTTCGTCTAAGCAAGTATTTTACAGTACTTTAGAAATACTCAAAACTGTCTTTGTCAATGGTAAATTAAATATAATAGTTTGAAAACAAAAAAGTCGCACAAGTGGGAATTTCACATCCATAACCGAGAGATGTCACATCCATAAAGACAATTTGTCCTCAATAATGCAAAAGTATAAATTTAAATAACATCAATCATGTTTGTTCTATAGTGAGCCAACTCTTATCCTTTTGATAAGCATTGGTTCTTTTGGGTTGTGCAATTTAGATTACAGAATTTTTACAAAAGTATGTTGTAGACTGCAAACTCGCATACTTTTTTTGGTCACATACATTACATGCTTATTTCCCTCAAAAGTTTTTCCCTTAAAAGTACAAAACATGTTTACAGACTGATTTTTCTGGTCACTTAACTCTGTGGTCAGTTGTTCTGGAAAATATAAAAAGATGTTTCAATTTAACGTTAACATTTACTCTGTGAATTTATGTTTTGAGGTTTTACTGCAGAGGTCACAACCATAACGCTGGAATTGCTCACATGGAATAACTGAATGGGTAAAATAGCCACCAGCGCTACCAAAAAAACAAAATGAAACACTGTACATGCACTAATGAATATTATGGCCACAGAAAAAAGATTTGGTACCACAAGACAACAACAAAAAGAAAAATCTCAATATTTCACTGGATAGTAGGGTTGCGCTATTTACCGGTACTATCACTATACGGCTCCAAAATACTGCCGGTGCCACTGTAGTTCGTAAACGGTAGTATCGTCGTTATTGGTTTATCTACAATAGATAATGTTGCATGTGGAAAAGTCACTAAAATGCTCACACGTTTGTGTAGCAATAAACCATTTTATTTTAAAAGTCTGTTGAGACTTTAAGGTTGTAAAACGGTGTAGAATTCGCAACTTTCATGGTAGCCTGTTGCACGTTTTCTAACAATTCAGTTCGAACGCGCAATCGGTTCATTTCTGTTCCTGTCAATATGATTTAGTAGCTACCACAACCGACAATCTCTTAAAGAGAACGAGTCACAAAGTGAAATTTTTAATTCCTTTGGATTGTTACCTGATAAGACTGAAAATAAAAAAAGTTTTAAAAACAAAGTAGCACCAGGAAACTTTTCATTTTTATTTTTGAGCACTTCATAAAGTCTATTTTGTTGGAAAAATGCTCTTTTGTAACAAACTTCATTTGGTATAATTTGTATATTTATTTTTATTGGTCAGTTAGCTACAAAATAAACAAAAAGAACGAATACATTTTAGGTGAAACAAGGTACAAATAATACTTATTTTGCCTTTAGGGAATTAGGAATTACATTCAAGTCAATTTTCTTTATAATTTGAGTTATAGGAAATAATGTAAGAAATTATTTAAGAACTATAATAAATCACAATACTACTTAGTATCGTGAAACTACAGCTGGTATAGTATCGTAAGATTATTGGTATTACAACAACCCTATTGGATATATTACTGAATGATTATTTTAGACTAATGTCTAAAATAAAAGCACCAACAAATCTTCCTTCCATTCCTTATTTATGCATGCATTTAAGACAACTGGGTATTTGCATTTTATTTTAAACATTGAGCAAATTACATAAAATGGATAAAATGTTAACTTTTAGATGATATGATTTTGAAGTTTAAACAAGCATGCATTGTACATCCCTGATAGCACGGATCACAATAATAAATTGAGCATTAAAATGCCAGTGATGCAATATCAAAACAAACCTGTCTAATGAATGATTAACCAGGCATGACTGCATTTAGTTTTCTGTAATACAGCTTGAGATAGGATGCATTTGGGTGGATTCAAAACAAAATTGCGAGCTACTTGTCTATTTGGGCACCAGTCACGCCTCGAAATACTATCTAAGATTTAAAGATTCAGCCTGTTGGCATTATGCGTCAAGTTTGATTGGAAATTCAACCGTGGTGACAGACAGTATTTTATTTAACGTTACCAGCTGGACGCCAACACTGATAACAGCTTTGATCTGGTATTGATTAGCTGAAGCACTTGACAGGTACAACGCTGTGCATGTAAATAAAAGTAGATCCCACTGATGTTAACAAAGCAGTCGCAGTTTTATTCAGTTATCACCAACAAAGCGACAGCTCTAGACTTAACAGTGACAGACACGCGCACACACCGACTAAAAACATTGAGTGACAGCATTAGCCTCGATGCTAACGCAAACACGCAGCTGTTTTTCATGCACCGCGACACAAACACTTACTTCCATAATGTCGAGAAGCCGCGTGAAACACAGTGAGAAGGACGACAGCGGCGGCTGCCAGCAACTTTGCATTTTTGATGCTGAAATACTGATTTATTTCCCGTTTGCCTAGGTTATAGGCCAGGACCGCCATCTTGGCTCCTCCATGACAACAGGCAGACAGACGAGCTGCGGCGGAGCTGACGAAAGCAAAGCCGAGCGGCGCGTGCCCGTTTCCCGCGTGTGCTTCAGCTTCTGCGTGATTGCAGTCCTCAGCTTTCATATCCACCTCAGGATTCATTTTCTTCTGGTATTAGATTTAAGTTCCAAATTATTTACATCAGACAGTTGCATTTGATTAACCTGAAGTCAAACCAGTCTAGTTAATATTTAAACTTTTTTTTCCCCTATATCCTAAACTGCCATATGGGCGGTACATACATGCAATATAAATTATTTGATCAGGAAACACAGCTGTAAAGTATGTTGAATTAACCTTGGACCTGTTTTTCCTGAACCTGCAAGCCAATTAACATATGCTACGAGTTCACTTATTGATCTAAGTTGCACTACATGTTGTTCTGACTGTGAGGGTGTGCATTTATTCGACGATTTTAAGTCTCTGGAGGATTTCGATTTAAAGTAATGACGCAGAAATGTCCTCTCCCTCTTTAATTCGATAGCAAACAGGGTTAACCACAAACATAGCCAGCATTCTTTTCGTATATTCATAGTTGATCACTTCCAAGTGCTTCAAATTGCTTTACAAAATGTTGATTTGTAAGTGTCAGTTAAGATTGTTATTATTGTAAGTTATTTCTGAAATAATATTTCTGAAACTCAAGAACAAAGTTAAACCAAGTTAAAAAGGAAACTTCAAATGTTTCAAATTATCTCAAAATTTGATATAAATGGTCTTGAATCTTTTCTTAAAGTCATGTTATTAAATGTTGCATTCACTGCAATGCTTTAAAATCAAGGTAAGTTTACTGTAGTTTTCTGATTACTGATCAAATTGTGTGTTTGTGCCTAAAACAAGACCAAATATTGCTAACTGTGCTATAAAATGTACTTTACTATTTTCAATGTCCTTTTCACTCTTTCCGTATTTATCAGTTTAACAAAAAAACAAGAAATCTTATCTCGTAATTTTGTTTCTCATGTAAATATATCTTTCTTGTTTGTGTTAGGAATGTGTAGATGTATTGGAAAACAAGACAATTAATCTTTGGAGAAACATCTGTTATATTAGCTATTACAAAGCTGGGTAAATGCATTTTAGCCAGCCAGCCTCGGTGCTTCCACTGAACTGTCTTTCCATTATAAAATTGCATTTGTTTATTGTCTGATTTCTTTAAAGATCAGTGATCTTCACTGCCTGATAGATACACTGTTACGCAAGGGCCAGTATAAGATTCTGACGATATAATAACCTTGGATAAAAATATCACGGTTTTACGGTATTGTGATTACTGCTCTAAAATATGTTCTTTTCAATTTCTGGTTAAAAAAACTAAAACTTTTTCCCCTTTCCGGCTAAATAATTCAAATGAATCATTGACCTCTGCGGTCTTCATTTGTTTTTAAAACACTGAATTTAAAATGGCATCTTTGGATATTTTTTCTGCTGGAGATACTGTTGTCCTAAAAAACAAACAAACAAAAAAAAAAGTGAATAAAAAAGGCTTACACATACCTTAGGAACAGTATTGAAGGAAATTTTGGCGGTTTTGAAACGCTGACTATTCCAAACCGCGGTAAACTTTGAAAAACGGTTATCGTCCCATGCCTATGATATAAAGTGGGTCTAAGAGCAGACAAGAAGCACTGCATTAAATTCCATTTCCCCCTGTCATGTCTTTAAAAAGAAGTTTATTTTACCCCGGTATTTTCAATGGAGTTACTGTCTTTCATCTTATTTTACACTTTAACAACTAGATGAATTCTTATGTCTATTTAACTTAATGTATTGTAATTACATAACAACATTGCAGCTGTAAAAGGAACCCCATGAAATTGAAAGTAGTCACATTAAGCTTTCACCTGAAGTTTATCTTTGTCTGAAAAGCACTAGATGTGCATATAGTCCATTGAGATTAGAACAAGTAATATTTTCAAAGTGTTGCTAGTACTGCTTATTCATTCTTGACATTTACATTTAGAGCATAACATAATGGCGTAGTGTGTTCCCATCAAACTAAAATGTATTTATTTGCTAAAAACATATTTAAAAGGTCTTATTTACCTTTGTTACACCTGCAAAAATCCCGCTCTCAGTTCAAAACGTGTTTTTTTTTATCTAGTTTTATTTAAAAAAAAGTTTTTTTATTAATTTTTTTTTTTTTTTTAATTTTAGCTTTTTCTCCAACCAGCGCTTTGAGGCTGTGTTTGAAATTTAACTATACCCTCTGTTTCTTTGTTAGTCAACTGAGGAGTATATGAAATCCCTGAGCAGTGGAGGTGCTATGACTCCATCTTCTGGCAAGATGCATGAATTTCCTTTGCAATTGAAAACTTGTCTATGTTCTTGATGTTCTGTTATTTTGTCAAACTACTGTAGGCGTGTTGTTATGCAAGCGGGGTGTAAAGACTGCGAGTGCGTGTATATAACTTCTGGGGCCAGTTGCATAAGCATAGCCACCATGTTAAGACTCTTACTTAAGAATTATACTCAAGATAATCAGTTTTGAATTTTGGATTCAAATTATTGTTTTTATTCTTTCTGTAAACAAAATGGTGACCAACTTATTATGACTTGCTAAAGACAATTTAAACAATAATGATCTTTACATTTTACATTTAATTATTCAATGATTTGTGCACATAAATACATCTTTGGCTCCACAGAAAACCATAAAGTGCTCTTTATTTAACTTTTATTTTTGCTCTCATATTTATATATGCTTGTAATTTATTATATTTTATGCAGATGCACTGCATAGAAAAAGATTGGATTGTCTTAGTCGAACTAAATGAATGAAACATTTCCAAGTAGAGCTGTTCAAATCATAGTTGAAATTATGTTCATATTGAAATATATACTGCAGCAAAAGAATATATAGCAATGTCTGATTATTTTCAATATCACATATTACGTTCTTTTTGATGAAACATTTATAGTGTTGATTTTAATGAACAAATTTTGACTGTAAAAAATGTTCAATGCAATTTTAACATGTAATGTCTTTAAGTAGTCTGTGTATTTGTTCTGCAACAGACAAACCTATTTAACTATGGGTCATCTTAAGGTAAAAATAGCAGTTGTAAACAAATTACAGACCAATACATTGACAATTGTTCAGCACTTTATATTTTATGATTTCTAACCTTGTGCGTTTTAACCATGATGAATGAAGGAATGCCCTTGCCCTCAAATACCACTGTGAAGTGTGGGAGTGAAAATGGGGATTTAAGCAAAGTGTGCATTAAAGGCACTTAAAAGCTTTTGTTTTCAGAGAATGAAGGTCTCACACACTTGTTGTGAAAGACTTCCACATCTTTTTCTCTTACCATTAGTGGAGTTCTGCAAGGCTCTATTCTTGGACCGCTCTATTTTTCACCTATATTTGCTTACATTTGAAAATAATATCAAGTGACATGTTTTTTCTATGCTGAAAATACCCAGCTCTATATCCATTAAAAAACTTGCAAAAAAAAAACAACGTGTTTTCAAAGCACTTAAAGTTGTAGCTCCACCCAATAAATCGCTTTAGTCAATCTTTAATATTCTCTGTCACGGCTACACTGCATGTCTGTCATCATTTCATTTTCCTTCGGCTTAGTCCATTTGTTTTATCAGTGATCGCCACAGCGGAATGAACCGCCAACTATTCCAGCATATGTTTCACGCAGTGGATGCCCTTCCAGCCGCAACCAAGCACTGGGAAACACCCATACACTCTCGCATTCACACACATACACTATGGCCAATTTAGCTTATTCAATTCACCTATAGCACATGTCTTTGGACTGTGGGAGAAACCGGAGCACCGGATGGAAACCCACACCAACACAGGCAGAACATGCAAACTCCACACGGAAATGTTAACTGACCCAGCCGGAGCTTGAACCAGTGACTTTCTTGCTGTGAGGCAACAGTGCTAGCCACTGTCATTTGCATGTCTATCATTCCAATTGAAAAATATAGAGCCTTTTTCTATTAAACTATTAAACAAAACCTAGTCTGTGTGTGTACTGTAATATAAACTAAATGCTAAATAAAAAATACTTGCATTATAGCATTGAATAAATTTAATGTATTATGTTGACTAATATTTTGGACACTACTGCAAATTGATGTCCTGTCAAATAGTGCCTTATGAAAGGTTATTTATGCAATTTCCTTAGTTGTAATAGATTGACATTGGCTAATTTCTGGCTCAGAAGAGGACACTTTCACAAAAATTTACACTTGCTGTGTGCAAATGTTTGCTCTCTTTAACCATATCCATACATGAAATAGTCACAAAAACAAAAAAAAACATCTCTCCCAAATAATTTAGAAAGCAATATTATAACCGATGTGTGAGTGGGGATGTATATTGCCTATAGGCTAAAAATCTGAGCTGACGTAATCTGTCAAATTAAGAAAAATTCGTACATTACTATATATTTTTTTGCTGCGGTTTATATTGCAATATGAACATAATTTCAACTACGATTTGAACAGCTCTATTTGGAGTAGCAGAAATTATATTTATGGCACAAAAATCTGCTGCGCTAAATACTTAATCTTAAAACAAAATCTACATGTTTGTATTCTCTACAAATGCAAGCATCCCAAGTTGCAGTGACTGGCTTTTTATTTGAATCAAAAGTGAGAAAGATTTTGCCATCTGAAAAGCATGTCATAACTGAAAACAGAGGAAATGAAGCTCTTAATGGCATTAGACCCAAAACGAAAATTGCTAAGACAAACACCCATTCATTGAATAAAAAAGAAAACCCATTTCATGTTTTGACAATAAACACATTGAAGTCATTGAATTTAGGCAGATGTTCAAAATGTCTAATTAAGTCAGACATTTTGTTCCCAACATTAAAGCACTTAACTCATGAAATAATTTGTTTCGGAACAATGGACATGCTTTATTTTCAGAACTTTTCACAATTTATTTAAACATCTCACATATACAAAATAGGTACAATAAACTTTGTGGTTTGTTTTGAGAGAGAGGTCTCTGCAACCCTTTAAAATGGACCAAGTGTGCTGTCAGTATTAACACTGGGGGGCGTAAAAGAATGTAATGCCTAAACAAAAATCTGAACAAAACTCTCAGAAAACAAAACAAAAAACAAACAAAACCAAAAAAAAAAAAAACCAAAGTCAAAACCAGACATACATCAGGTTTAGGAATATTCCACCTGCTTAAAAATGGGATTATCAGGGGGACCTGTGCAATATTCCTTAGAGACAATACAAAGTAATACAGTAACAGTGGTTTTCTCCACAGCTGCATGTTTAGCACCATATAATATCACTGCTTCAAGTATTGGAGCACCTTTGAAACAGGACAGAACTTGAAGCCTTAGTACCATCTAGCGACGACTAGGATGTTGATTATTATTTTCCTTTACACATGAGGTAGTTTAAACCTTACGGAAATTGTGGTTTTAAACTTCCTCTTTGGAAGATATACAAAGACCACAAAGTGATGTATACTTTCATTCTTTTTATTACACTTCTTTAATTTTTACAAAATGATGACATGTCCCATAACATGGTGTTATCCCTCCCGCGTCTCTTTGGGCTGCTGTATTAATTTGCATTGCGCAATGCTCCGTTCAGTCCATTGGTCCACTCCGATAGAGCCCAGCTTAAGCAAGTGGATTTGCGGAAAAAAATCAGCATTCAGTATAAAAAAACACAGAAAGAAGGGCAGAGATTTTTCTTTTTTCTTTCTTTCTCTCGTTTAATTTATCATGAGTCTATTTATTTGAAACAGACTGGGCCAATGTCCAAACCAAACTCTTGATCTGCGCCACCAATGTCCAAAGGTGCAATGTCGAGGATGGGAAGGCGAGATGGTTTATTTGTTCTGTATTCAATGACTGTCTTGCTCCACTGGCCAGTGTGTCTCTGCAGATATGGAACAGGAAGACAAAACTTATTAGTTGATGTATTCTTGCCAAACACCAATGTGTCATAAGCATGCCAAAGTGTTGTAAACATGCTCGCATCTCATGTAATTGTGATATTATCTCACATGCATGGTGGACACTATGCTCCTTGACTGTATGGTATTAAACCAAATTTGGTACATTCCATGCTAAGTGTGCTAAAGGAACTTACACTGCAGCCATCCTCTAGGACGCTGAAAGTGAAGCGGCTGTTGCCCTCCGCCCTGAGCTCAACATCATTGGAACCCTGCAGCAACACAGCCTTCTTCAGGTTTCCATTCTCAGCATCCATGTAGGCGATGCTGTTCTTGCAGTGGTAGGTGATGTTCTGGACTGCCTGGTTGGCCAGTAGACGCATGAAGGCCAGCTGAGTAGCCATGGATTGTGGGCTCAGGGTCTCGTCATTGTAAGCAAACTAAAACGGAAGAATGAAACAATACCTTGAGACTGCTTATAAATATTAAACCATCAACTAATTCCTCTGTTTTATCTCTTTGACTTGCTGTTGGGAAATGCTATAACGTACCTCAGTACCACTGTTGATAGTCTCGCCAAACCAGGTGTGTTTCTTCTCCTGGGAGCTTCTGTACCAGTTCTTGCGTGGGATGCTCTCTGGGTGGGGGTGGATGCAGGTCTGGCCAGTAGAGAAGTCGCAGAAGGCCTTGATGGCATCCATTGTGCAGCCCTGGTTGGGGTCGATCCAGTAGAAACCTTCAAGGGAAAGAGAACAACACAGATTATTAAGAGGAAATGGTGCTATTGGATTAAGATATCAAGATTGACCAGAAAAAGCTTTGTCTACTTACCGCTGCTCCATTCTGGGTGGCTGAGCCTGATGTCACGGCAAGTACGAGCGGGGTTCTTCTTTGAGCCCTCAGGGGAAAGCAGATTCTCAATCTGAGTGTTCAAGGACTTGATGGTGGCATCCACCTCGTAATCCTTGGCTCTAAGAGAGGCCTGGTCAGCTCTGTACTCATCATAGCCTCCAGATGTGTCATATCCACCTCCAGATGGGCCAGGGGGTCCGGGAAGACCAGGAGATCCAGGAGGACCCTGCAGTCATATCGGCCATTGATCAACCATATTGTATTTATACTGTAGGTACACGTTTTTCTCATTTCAAGGTTTCTAAAGCTTCTCATCTCGAGGTAAGGTGTGATTTTTACATATTTAATTTTTTTTCTGTCTTATTGTTGACAATTGATTGTCTCTGAAAACATAAAATGACAAGACTTACAGCAGGTCCAACATGTCCAGCGGGACCACGGTGTCCTGGGGGTCCAATTGCACCAGGCATGCCATTTGAACCATCTTTACCAGCGGGGCCATTGGGACCAGCTGGGCCCTAAAGATAAATGGTAGAAAATGACCTTTACACATTTTATTTAACTTAATGACAGAATTCTGAATCTTAGGAATGAGAAAGTTACTTACTCTTGGACCGGAAGGTCCAGCAATGCCAGCAGGCCCACTGTCACCAGAAGGACCCTATAAGACAAGTTTTTGTATTTAAATTATTTAATGCACAATCATTATACTAATTTGGATCAGAATTGATCAAAACTGTTTACATTGGAAAAATTCATTTAAACTGATAACCTACGTTAGGTCCGGGCATTCCCTGCAGACCAGGATGTCCACGAAGTCCCTTCATACCCCTGTCTCCTTTTTCTCCAGCAACACCCTTCTCACCACGAGGTCCAGCAGGGCCCTGTAAAACAAGGAGATTTTATTTAAAAGGAGTCTTTGTTCATAGACTGGCTCCATACTTGAGAGTTCTTTTGAGAAGGATAATGTCTGACATACTTACAGGTGCACCTCTTGCTCCAGCAGGTCCAACAGCGCCAGTAGGACCAGAAGGACCCTAAAGGAAGTATGAAAAATTGGATTGATTACAAATGGTATAATCTCATGTAATGCAGGAAATGTTGTGACTTTATTGGCACATACAGATTCACCACGGTTTCCAGGTCTGCCAACAGCGCCTGATGGTCCATTGGGTCCAGGAGCACCAACAGGTCCAGCAGTTCCAGGGGAACCAGGCTCACCACGGTCACCCTGGTTAAAATAATACAATTCAATTAATTTATTTATATAAACACTCTATTGGTAATTAAAGCTATTTCTACTTAGATATAATAGGAAATATGAAGAGATGCGTGTGAAATTTGTATAACATTTAAGAAATTAATACCTTAATTCCAGCAGCACCAGGACGGCCAGGAGGTCCATCATTGCCAGGGCTTCCCTACAAAACAACACAGATGCAATTGTAAATGCATGAAAAAAGTACCCACCAAGGGTGTTATGAAAAAATAAGTCTATAACTCACCTCACGTCCAGCCTCACCCTGAGGACCAGTCATACCAGGCATGCCAATGTTGCCACCGGGTCCACGGGCACCAGGGGCACCAGCAGGGCCAACTCTTCCAGGTTCACCCTAAAGAACACAGACACACTCAAAATCAGATTAACACTTTAACTATTTTTTTAATCAATTTGAGTACAGTCAGAATCAAGAGGTAAGTCATTGCACTTACAACTGATCCGGGGATACCAGGAAGACCACGGTCACCTCTGGAGCCAGGAAGACCATTGAATCCCTGTGATCCCAGCTGACCCTGAGGCCCAGCAGGTCCAGGTGCTCCCTATTTTTGAAAAAAAATAAAAGTTTATTGTGATGTAATATATACTTGGTAATATTTTGAGATTAACGCTTTTGTTCAGTTAGAACTTACAGGTGCACCAGCCTCTCCAGGGGGTCCCTTCTCACCAGCCAGACCAAGAGGTCCAATCATTCCATTCTCTCCTGGGGGACCAGCAGGGCCAACATCACCACGAGGACCACGTGGGCCATCCTTTCCAGCGGGACCAGTGAGACCAGCAGGTCCAACAATACCCTAATTGATGTGAAGAGAAACATTTTACATGTATGACCAAAAATCATTACATTCTAAAATTAAGCAATTGTTTTAAAACTTTAGATTTGAACAAGTAAATTTAGAATAATCTGAGTTTACTTACAGCAGGACCAGGAGGTCCAACTCTACCAGGAGCACCAGGGAAGCCAGTCAGACCCTAGGGTTAATCCAAAAATGAATGAGTTAAGTCCAGGAAAAGTTTAGAAAACTGGATCATAAATCAATCTGTAAAAGAGTACTTACAGTGGGACCACTGTCACCACGGGCACCAGGTGGGCCAACAGGACCAGAAGGACCCTAAAGATGCACAAGACAAAAGTCCTTCCATTGAAATGTTGTCCAGACATTCTTTTAAATAATGCATATTTGTAATCTCAAACTTACAAGGGGTCCAGTATTTCCAGCGGGACCGGCAGGGCCAGCGGGTCCAGCGTCACCCTTTCCACCAGCAGGTCCTTTCTCACCTCTTGGTCCAGTCTGGCCATCAGCACCCTGCAAGACGCATTGTGTACCAGTTAGTTTTCTGTGCGAGAGTCAAAGCACTTTTACATCTAAAACTAAATGTTTGAAATCCTAACAAGCTTTTAATAGTGGCAAACATTAGCAGAATTCACATGGACTTACAGGGGGTCCAGCAAAACCGGAAGGTCCAGCAGGGCCAGACTCACCACGCTCACCCTAAAACAAATGACAAAACTTTTGTCGAGTGCTTAATTGTTATGTGAATATCAAATGCACGTCATAGGACAATTTGTATGATAAAAAACTTTATCATGGAAGTAATAAAGAAACGAATAGAAAACTCACAGGGGCACCACGAGGACCAGCAGGTCCAGGAGGACCAAAGGAGCCAGTCTCACCCTGGAAGAAGACACAGATTGGTTGCGTCAGAATGATCTTTAAAGCTACTTGAAGAAAGTTCTTTTGAGAGTCTTGCAAGTTATTTATTTGAAGGTTACTTTTTTAGTTGCAAAAAAATAAATAAAAAAATTAAAAAGTCTAAAGGAATTTTAGCTTAACATATTAAGCAAGTTTTACACTATTTTACATTTATTTTATTTTTTCTAAAGAATTTAAAATAATTATTTAAGGCTTAATGCATATCAATAAAGCTCAATTATAACAAATGTTGAATAAAATGGCTTTAAAAATTTTTGAATGGTTTAAAATGTTGGCACATATCAAAACAAAAAAACATCCAATTTGTTTCAACATATTGAAAAGTTTCATAGAACAGAGTTCTAAGAAGAAATCCACAAACAGATGTAAAACGTATGGAGAACAAGTTTCTGTATAAATGTATGGCACATTTTAATAAATGTTGCAACGTGTAATCGCTGTTGAGCGTCTAGTACGAATCGTCAGTCACCATTGTTTTTTCCAGAGATTACTAATAATGATAAAATACAAAGAAATGAAATGGAATCGAACTGGGTAATGGCTTAAACCAGTGGTTACCAAACTTTTTTCATCAAGTACCACCTTAGAAAAAAATTGTCTCTCCAAGTACCACCAAAATGAGCAGTATTGAAATACAGTAGCGTAGTAGGGCCAGTAAAGCAGCTACAACTCTGCACAGTTTAAAAAAGTGGCAGATTACCTCAGAAATATAGGCTATATGTCATATATGGTATAATATATAAATGCTTTTTGATAAATTTTGAAATATATGTAGCATATACATGACATATTTCATTCCTCCACGTACCACTAGAAGGAAGCCTGCGTACCACTAGTGGTACACGTACCACAGTTTGAGAACCACTGGCTTAAACATTACTCTAGTGTTCATAAAAGATGGAATGTTATTTCCGGAAGGCAGCAATGATTCCATATATCTGGCCATTTTGTAACAGTCAGCAGGGGTTTCTTTAAACATCCAGTCAAAGAAGCAAACTACTTGCCCCACGAAAAGGTAAAAACTTTGGTATAGCCCTTAATCATCTTAAATGCTCTTCATTTTAATTATCTCAATTATAACATCATTATTTTAATTTTTAATGTTGAGCTTTAAATAAATAGTAGTTTTGGGCTGCTGTAAATGTTAGATTTGTATAATATACCATAATATCAACAAATATCATCATTGATTTGAAATAAAAGCTAAGATAATACTCTACCTTGTCACCATTAGCACCAGCAGGTCCAGGGGGTCCACTGGGTCCAGGAGCACCCTGCACGTAAGTTGAGGAAGATGTACCATAAATTCAAGATATGTTCGATTTTTTTTTTTTTTTTTTTTTTTGAAGTGCGCAATCAGAAAAAAAAAGCATGTGATACTTACACGGGCACCATCTTTTCCAGCATTGCCCTCCAGTCCTCTGTATCCAGCCTCACCCTGTATATCAGATAAATGTATTTAGACCACAAGGGATCAAATAGATTTGCAAACAGACTCACTATAGAATGGTGTGCATGAAAAACTCTTGTTTTCATGTAAACAGTAACATCAGGGCAACCATGACCAATGTTTAGAACATACCTTCTCTCCCTTAGCTCCAGGGGTGCCAGCAGCACCACGCTCACCAGGCATACCAGCAGCTCCCTGTGGTCCAGGGGCACCAGCAGGTCCAACTGCACCAGGCTCTCCCTGAATAATACACATTTTGTCAGATATACTAATAAAAACAAAGTATCTAGATGGCATTTTTGTAGTGAATCTGTTTGCATACCTTGTTTCCATCAGGGCCAGGAGTACCAGAAGGTCCACGAGCACCAATGGGTCCCTGAGCGCCAGCAGCACCAGCAGGTCCAGGGTTACCACGCTCTCCCTAAACAGTGAGAAACGAGAGAAAGAAGAGTCAGTTTATTCCTTTGAAGAAACTCTATGATAGTAAAGAGGACAGAAAATCTGAGAAGGGTAAGTCACCTTCACACCAGCAGGTCCTGATACACCTTGATCTCCAGGGATACCCTATTGAGAGATACATTTTTTGTTATTGATTCATATAATTCAGCTCTGTGCAAATGAACCTAAATAGCATAAGGTGCATTGGCTGGGTCATGAATCCATGTTCTTTAATGTTCAATAAATCAAACTTAACTCATCATCAACAACTCAGAACAGCAGAATGTAAATATAAAACAAAATAAAAGTATATGCTTGATGCAAGATTTTGACAAGAACTTACTCTATCACCAGGCTTGCCAGCCTCACCAACAGGTCCAGCGGGGCCAGGAAGACCCTGTTAAGGTCAAATAATATAAATAGTTGTAAAGACTTGTATGTAAGCAGACATTACTCACAATGTAAGCAGGTATAATGCATGCAAGATTTTTATTTTGAACAATTCTCACGTGGCGGTGATTCCCACCCTGTTAAAAGTCTAGCATTGTTGGTCACCAGCATTACAGTATGTTCTGCAAGTTGTGACCAGTAAAGGAAGCATGTTGCTTTATAGGAGTAGGAATACTAAGCTTAGTTTTACTTTGAGAATAGCATGACTACTTGCTTGTTTAATCATCACCATGCCAGATCAATTTACCAGCATGTACCAGTTGCACCAGCTTCTTATACAGGTTTGTTACGATTTTTCAACAGGGCAGCAATGAGTACACCAAAGTGGTGATTTTTCTATTCTGGAATTCTTCATATTAACTGTCCCAGAAATAAAACCTCAAGGTACTTAGACAGAATTTTAATCCACTGTGTTGTCCATTGGATTGAATTTTGAGCCCTACCGATGGGGTTTTGGGTGTACAACTTACTACAAAGGTTAATAGATGCTTCTTTTATTAATTTTATTCAGTACTTTCAGTTTGAGTGATGCATGTACATGAACTGCAAAGGTATGTGAAAGTATAAACAAGCATGATGTGACACTGACCTGGAAACCAGGAGCACCAGAGGGTCCCTGCTCTCCTTTCTCACCAGGGGCACCCTAAAAGTGGAGCAAAATGTTTGTTACCATTGAGAACCAGGAATAAGTAATGTGCTAATCTACATTGATAGAACCAAGATGGCCTACTTACAGCAAGTCCAACAGGACCAGCAGGACCATTGTTACCATCAGGACCAGGGCTGCCCTAAGAAACAAGAGAAACTAAATCAGAGGTGGCCAATAGCTTATAACTTACTCCTTAATACTGAATACTGATCAAGGTTTATAGCAGATATCCCCCCTCTCTCTCTCTCTCTGAAGTACTTACTCTCAGTCCAGTAGGGCCAACAGGTCCCTTCTCACCAGGCTTGCCAGCCTCGCCCTGCAAGGAGGTTAATTGATAAGATCATTGAATTATTGCTATTTGAATCTCTAAATACTTGCACAAAATACTTACAGAAGGTCCTTTGGGACCAGGGAATCCAATGTTACCAGGCTGGCCTCTGGGTCCAGTTGGGCCAGGGGGTCCGGTGCGACCATCTTGACCAGCGGCACCCTAAAATATGGCATATGAATTGGTATTAAGTGCTCGCAAAGCATTCTGCATATTGCTTGCATGTTTTCACACATTACTTTGGGTCACTCAAAAACTAGATGTGTAAAATGAACATGAACTCACAGAAGGTCCTTCCTTTCCAGGGGGTCCAGAACTGCCAGGGCTACCAGGGAGACCCTGAAAAAATGAAAGGTGATGGACTTATATGCTACAAAGTGGACTTAAGAGATTCATTGTAGGATGTTGGTTGTGATACTCACTCTGGCTCCAACAAGACCAGCCTCACCAGCACGACCAGCATCTCCAGGAGGTCCACGGGCTCCAGGTGCACCAACACCACCACGAGGACCAGGCATGCCCTGAGGTACAGCATTCATAGATTAGAGTCTTACAGCTTCAGATCAATGTAAATCTGCATGGAATTACAGTGATTAGCAGGTGAATGATTAAATACAGTTGTGGCCAATAGTGATGTCCCGTTTGTATGTGCTACATATTTCAATTGTTTCATTGGAAATAACCCAATGATGGAAGTTTATTGAGAAATCGCAGGGGAATTGATTTTATTTAAATACAAAATTGAACCAATTAAATATTAATAAATGATTAATCTGTAGTGAATGTACATTTTATTTACACATTGAGTTTCTTTGCATTGCTTAATAATACAAACATTCCATTATAAGCTGTAGCTTAGCCAATTTTTCACTCATTTTTTTGTCAGCTTAGTCCATTTATTAATCCGGGGTCGCCACAGCGGAATGAACTGCCAACTTATCCAGCAAGTTTTTACACAGCGGATGCCCTTCCAGCCGCAACCCATCTCTGGGAAACATCCACACACAGTCATTCACACACACACACAATACGGACAATTTAGCCTACCCAATTCACCTGTACCGCATGTCTTTGGACTGTGGGGGAAACCGGAGCACCCGGAGGAAACCCACACGAATGCAGGGAGAACATGCAAACTCCACACAGAAACGCCAACTGAGCCGAGGCTCGAACCAGCGACCCAGCGACGTTCTTGCTGTGAGGCGAACGTGCTACCCACGTGCTAAACAAATTTGGCGTTGTCCCTAACCCAATATAAAATTATTCCAATATTTTGATAAATAAAAGCAAATATTGTGCAAATGTCCTCTGTAGACAACATTTTTTGGCCTCTACTGTATATGCATATAAACTAAAATAGCATAATATAAGATATAGTGCAAAATGGGTAATATTTCTTAAATCTTACCATTGGGCCTGACCTGCCAGCCAGACCAGGCAGACCACGAGTACCAGCGGCTCCCTGTCAGAAACATTAATGTACATAGTTTAATAAAAATATAATAAGTAATAAATAATCTTAAACAAAAACATAGATGTTATGTTAACAATTAAGCATTCTATTAAACTGAATGACTAATTGTTATTTTGGTCCCACTTTATATTAAGTGGCCTTAACTAATATGTACTTACACAGGAACTAATAGTTTGTTGCAATGTACTTATTGTGTAAATACATGTATTTACTGTGTACTTATGCTTAATTAAATACAAGTATGTAATTAAATCTGTAATTAACTTTTGTAATTACATTTGTAAATACACTGTTGAACATCCCTTACACCTTAACCCACCCTTAAACCTACCCATACCACCAAACCTGTCCATAACCCAACCTCTATCCCAACTCAAAAGCACCACAAGTGTTCTCAAATACATTATAAACACAGTAAGTACATTGTATTTATTTTTTGATGCAAGTACATAGTAGTTAAGGACACTTAATATAAAGTGGGACTGTTATTTTTCTAACAGAAAGACCCTCTCTTACAATTCACTTGAGTTTAACTTTTTTTTGTTCTGTACATCTAGAACCTTTTCTTACAGACATCTGATGCCTACAGTTGAAATGTAGATCCCTTGCGTATCAAACTTACTCTAGGTCCACGCAGTCCCAAAGGTCCAGTAGGTCCCTGCTCTCCAGTTGACCCTCTCTTGCCCTCCTCACCAGAAGGACCAGGAGGCCCCTGAGGACCAGCACTACCCTGTACAGAAAACAGATGAAGAATGAAATGAACAAGTGCATTTAGACATACAGTAGCATTTACTGAACACTTTATAAAATATGTAGACAGTGTTTAGACTCACAGGCTCTCCCTTCACACCAGAATCTCCCTTCACTCCAACAGGTCCGGGGTCACCCTGAGCATAAAAACAGTTCAAAGGTTAAACTTAGATTAGGAAATGTATAAATCTGACAATATATGAATAGAAAAAAACAAAACAAAAACAAATGAACAAAATGGATACTGAACATATTTAAGTAATAATTTAGTAGCATCTGATGAATTATCCAATTAGTAGATACTTTTCTTCCTCTTTATGATTAACAAATTATTATTTTGAAATATTGTTTAAACAAATGACTGCATAGACATAGAAAATTTAAATTAAATCTACATTTTCTTTCATAAGTCAATGACAGAAATCAAGTTTTTAAGCATCAAAACAATTGTAATAGGGCTTTATTTGAATCATTTATGTATTTGTTTATTTATAGAATGAGTTTTGTTAATGTCTTTATTTCTTATTGTCATTTTTTTAACATTACAAAATTTAGTATGATCACTTATTCCTTATTTTTTTAGCATGTGTCTGTCATTATGTTTTAATTTTCATTTTTACATCAACCTCTAAAGAAGCAACATTATTTCACTCATTTTCTGACATTCAATTGTACTACATCATTTGTCACATTTGACAGTTTCATTTAATATTAATAAAATGTTTTTGAAAGTTGATGCAAGTTTAATTTGATGCAACACCTGAAAAAAAATCTCATCTTTGACCTAATGTCAAAATCTGTAATAGTTTCTATAAAACATTCCAGCCTTATTTTTTATTAAAGGCCTAAAATATCAGCTAATGTTTCATCAATAATAAGTACGTTGTGAATGCAGCAGTTAGGATTAAGCAGATGTACTTACACCAAGACCTCTTGGACCAGAAGCTCCACTAGGTCCCTGTGGGCCAGGGCCTCCTCTAGGGCCAGGGAAACCAGGGGCACCAGCAATTCCAGGAAGACCCTGTGAAGGTCATCAATTGCAGAATAATTACTTTAAATTTTAGAATATGTCCTGTTTAATTTACTCCTGAAAAAACTTTGACTGTTTTACACTATTACCCTGATTTATATAAGATATCAAAAATATATCAAAAGATATCAAAACATATTTAGAAGAAGAACCATTTTGTGGTATTAAAAGACTAGTACATGCCTAAGAAAACAATTAACAGCCAATTTAAAGCTATGTCAATTTTAAAATACATAATAAAACATGTAAAAGCTTTTGCCTTTAGGTTATTGGGCAGTTCTAACCTATAATTTAGTTAGAACTTTAGTGTAAAATGATTACTGAATGTCTAGTGAGCACATTTAGTAGTATATGTAGATTGGTATGGAAACTTACAGCTGCTCCTTTAGCACCATTGATACCATTAGCACCAGGGTTACCCTGTAAAAATACAAAGACAGATGTTACTTTTTCTTCTGCTTGATAATCAAATCAATTTATCTGCAAATGATTTGAAATGCACTTACAGGGGGTCCAACGGGGCCAACGGCACCGTTCGGGCCTGGCTCTCCTCTTTGTCCCTGAGCTCCAGATGGTCCAGTGGGACCAGCGGGTCCAAGTTCTCCCTGTCAAACATTGAAGACTTTTTAAGCCACAGTTTGTAATAGAAGGGCAGTTGCTAAGATTAAGGAAATACATTATATGTGTACATATATATATATATGTGTGTATACAGTAGTCAACATCTGAAGTGGGTCAAAAACATTTTCCAAAACTGTCCTAAGACGAGAATGGTTGTTGTTCAATATATATATATGTATGTATATGTAGCATTAGATCTAATCAAAAGATATGAACTGGCAGCATGTCTGTTAATCTTCTAGCCACATTATTTCACACAGATGCTCCGGGCTAGCTTTATATTTCGATTTCATTTATATTTCATTTATATACCTTGGGTCCAGGTGCACCAGGGAAACCAGGAGGACCAGCTGAGCCCAAAGGTCCCTGAAAGGAAAGAAAATGTGTTACTTCCACATTCGAGCTCCACCATATGACACATTTCAGGAGTCAAAGGGCAGATGCTCACAGCAGGGCCAGCAGGACCAGTGTTACCATCAGCACCGCGAGCACCAGCTGGGCCAGCAGGGCCAACACGACCTCTCTCACCAGGAAGACCACGACCACCCTGTACAACACGAGAAATGAGGTACGAACCAAAGTGAACAGTTCAAATAAGTAGGTCTTGTAAAATTTCAATAATAATAATACACTTTTTCTTATTAATAATGTTTGGCTTACTCTCTGTCCGGGGGTTCCATTTGATCCAGCGGCACCATTTTCACCCTGTTAAAAAAGGCAAATGTGAGTCTTTAAAATAAATCTAATGCAATGCATTTGAATTTATTCATTATATGGACTAGAAAATATGATAATGTAAATTGTAATATTTTATTTGTGTCGAACCTTGTGTTGAAGTCAGAACATTAAAACATATCAGAACAACAAATATTGTTTCTTTAAGTACACTCTTACAAATTAAGATTCCAAAATTGCATTTTTTTGTAACTTGGACAACATATTCACAATTATTACAAATTTTGCCTATAAAATCCACTAATTCACTGCATAAAAGTTGGTAAAATTGTTGTTGTAGTGGTTAGAAGAGAACTAACGTTACTCATCCTCCACTTGTTTCATACCTGTATACATTTATTTTTTCAGTTTGACACAAAAAGAAGATATTTTGAAGAATGTTGGAAAGCAGTAACCACTAACTTCCTCAGAATATTTTTATGAATGTCAGAGGTTACCAGCTTTTCCCAAATGTTCTTCAAAATAACTGTTTTGTGCTGTAAACACAAAGAGGAAACTAAAGGTTTGAAACCACCTAATGGTGAGTAATATGTTTTATTTTGGGTGAACTATCCTTACTGTAGGTATTGGATAGAATTAAACAGATATAACTCAGTGTTAAAGGTAATGAATTAATTAAATACCTCATTACTTCAGCTCAAATGGAGTAAGTTCACAGTACTCATATAGATTACTTTTTTTAACTCCAATGGTTTATTGCAATCAGTTTCCTCAAACGGTTTGAGTTGCCTTAACTTATTGGGTTTTACAGTACTCAATTAGTTTAAGTTCTCTTCATTTATTGGATTTTACTTTGCTCAGATTGCTTCGTTAACACAAGTGTATGAAGTTTAAAGTACTCATTAGGATTTGTTTTTGAACTTAAATAGTTTGTTGCAATCGGTTTCCTCAAACGGTTCAAGTTACCTTATTGGGTTTTAGCCACTGACTCACAAAGTATTTTTTTCCTATAGATGTCAATGACCACCGGTCTACAACATTCTGAAAATTATCTTCTTTTATGTTCAACAGACAAAAGAAACCCATATAGGTTTGGATTAACTTTAGAGAAATCTTTAAATCTATCCTATCCTTTAATATATGCTATTTACGTACTAAAAAACGGCCAATCAGCAAGCCAATAAGGAACTAGTTAAAAGTAAACAATGCTTCCCATACTAAACTTCTTTTTCAAAGTGTATAAATAAACATGTAGAGTTAATGTAAATTGTAAGTTCAGCATTGGCACATGGTATTGTTAATAAAAATTTGTCCCCATATAGTGTTTCCAGGTTTTCTCATCAGTGCCACAGAACTATTTAAGTCCCTTAAGAATCTTTACAGTGAGCAGTACTTAAAGAAACAGTTTATCTTGATGTGTAGAACATTTTCATTTGTTTATTACTTGTTTATTAGGTATAAAGCAACATTTGTGTAATGGAAAGAATCCATGAATGTTAAAGGTTCTTCATGTAACTATTAATGTCAATAAAAAATCTTTATATTTAAGCATTAGCACTTTCAAGAATTGGGTTTCATTCTACAAAATGGAATATTTATTCATTTTCCCCTCGGCTTAGTCCCTTAATTATCAGTGGTTGCCACAACAGAGTGAACCACCAACCATTCCAGCATTTGTTTTATGCAGCAGATGCCCTGCCAGCTGCAACCCAGTACTGGGAAACACAATCTGTAATAATTTTATGTATTTTTAAAGATGCATATCTGTGTAGTCTGAAACATTTTAAGGTATTAAACTTTTACATGTGCATGTGTGTGTCTTTACCTTGGCACCAGCTGCGCCAGGCTCTCCTTTGCGTCCATCAATACCATTGTAACCCTGAGGAGGAAGATATTAAGATCATGAGACCTTGACTTCTTTTGGTAAATGAATAAAACTCAAATTTCAGCTTCTTATGTCTTCTCATCAGTCCTCAACACTACTAACTTACTCTGTGTCCCTTCATGCCAGGAAGTCCAGGAGTTCCTGGGAAACCACGGGCACCCTTTGGAAAACATTAAAAAAAGATGAAGATCCTTGTTAGAAATATTACTAAGGTAGATGCATACATCACTGATTTACACATCTATGACTCTCTTACCTGAGCTCCAAGGACTCCTCTGTCTCCAGGCTTTCCAGGTCTGCCATTGTTGCCCTTTGAGAAGAAGATGAATATAGAGTTATGCACGGTTCGGTTATAATTTCAGCATTAGCACATGGAATTATAACACTCACATCTTCACCATTTTTGCCAGGGGGTCCAGGAGGGCCACGAGCACCAATAGCTCCCTGTAAAGAGATGACAGATAGAGAAATCAGTGTTAAAGTTCAAACATAATTTCCAAACCGTGTGAACACAGTGTTGACCAGAGAGCACTCACAGCCTGTCCGGGCTCTCCAGGCTCACCAGCATGTCCTTGCAGTCCTTGAGCTCCCTATATATTCACAAAAACATCAAGATATGTTATGTTATATTTATTTTTTGAGGCATGAAAAATTCAAATGCTATATGCACTGTGATATTTAATTGAGTTATTGTTTTCATTTACATAATATATATGAAAGTGTATATATAAGGATCAATTTATCAGTTCATGTAATATCATTAATAAAAATAAAATAAAACAATATTAAAGTACTTACAGGAGCACCAGGAGATCCAGAAGGTCCTCTGGGTCCCATCAAACCCTGCAAAAGTGAAAGTGAAAGTAAAAATAAATGGCCTGAGGATTTATTATGATCAGCAAGGGTTCAGATATTATGATGAGACTAAAAGTCTAATATTTAATTTGCAGCACACTGCTATTGATATATAGTTATAGTAACAAATGTTGGCGACAATTATATCTGTAGTTAGCATGTATTAACAGAGAGGATAGCAATGTAATATTAATTTAGGCTAACATATAATGGCATGAACTCACCATAGGTCCAGGGCCGGGGTCAGGTCCTTTAGCGCCATCATACTGAGCAGCGAAGTTCTACAAAAAGCAAATAATATTGCAATATTATAAAAAAACTCTTCCTGATGAAACATTTTCTTAGTGTTTCCTATGTTATAATTAAATTATGAATCAGATTCTATCATTGCGTTTAAAATCAATACAGCTTGTGCTTTTGGAAGGCCTTTTGAGGTCAAAGGTTAAAGGTCAAATGTTGAATATGACTGGGAGGATTGTGAGTCTCAAATATAACAACAAACACTCGACTGTAATGTAATGAACAGATTTAGCTTTCTAGAATTTATTTATTTATTGTCTGGAATGGAAACTTACTCCACCAAGACCAGGGGGGCCAGGAGGGCCAGCAGGGCCAGGAAGTCCAGGTCGGCCGGGTTTTCCATCAGGTCCCTTAGGACCCTGTTGGGGACAAGAACAAATGGAAAAATATGTAAGTTGAATCTACAGTATTGAGATGAACTAGCCTTTATGATAAGTGAAACTGTTGTCACTAAATATACAGCTTAAATAGCACACTGAATCTGAAAATTAATCCTTTGACCTATTTAAAATATAGCACGGTATAAACTTACCCTCTCACCTCTGGGTCCTTTTGGTCCCTTGAGGCCCTGTTTACAGAACAATATAATCAAACAACTGGGACAGACCAATTTGTAACAGCCTCTACATGTTAATAATGCTATTTATATGCATGTGGCAAACTAACAATGCTATGCTAACAATGCTAATGCAATCTAATGCACAGAGAACAGTGAATAAATAAACATGATTTGTGCTATCTTTCTAATATATTGTGTTCTTTATACTGCATATTAATCTGCAAATATTGCATGCACTCTCTAGTGTTTATCATGTGTTTCAGTGAAGACACACTCAACAGAGGTGCTCAAAGCAGTGCACAGGCCTAGCCAACATCATAAAACATCATCATTCTTGTTCCGCTCCTTTAAGCACCTTCTGTTGTTAGTGATCAATGTGATATTCAGGTGAGAAGTTTTGAGTCGACCCCAAATAATATTCCATATTTATGCCAATTCCAGTAATCTATGCTATGTGTTTTGTCCACTTGAGGGAACTGCTGGGCAAAATCCGCCAGCTTGGAGGAATTTCGGCAGCATGTTGATTTTGTTATCCTGAGTCCACCTCTTCGGAAGGCCATCTAAAAAGAGCCATTGTGCCCAGGTTGTGTGCTATGCAGGATAGGGTGGTCTCTAGTTTCATTGACATTTGCTCAAGCCAATCGTGCTTTCCTCCTTCCCGTCACAGGCAAGAAGGAAAAACCCAGAAAGTCCGATATCCGAAATGCTCTGGAATATTTGAGATCGACCGAAGGATCTTTTCACCGATTATCATCATCATCATCCATTTGGAGATCTGAGATCAGATAAGGTAAATATCTCTATTAGTGTAATAACTTGGATACTGACCGCTGTGTGATGGCGATGGGGTGGAGGAGGAAAACAGAAAGACAGAGAAAAGACAGAGGTGATTCGTTAGAGTTATGAACGCCACATCATGTTGAATTTATGAATGTTGAGACATTTATGTATAAAAAAAAAGAAACAGAAGAGCCTACTGTTTATGATTCCAGACATCCAACAGAAATATGTAAATGTTTATGCCTAATGCATGCAAAAATAAATGCTAAAATAGATGAATAATGCAATGGTATTTTTGCAATGAATGTGATGATTGCTTAAATCAACCTGATTTTAGTAGGCCTGAACTGAATTTTTGGCATATTTTGCTGTTTTTATTTTGGCATATTTTGTTAAACTTGCATTTATTATGATTTTGTGTCCATAAGAGTGGGTGGAAATATTGTAGTGTATTTTAATGTCTAAAAAAATGCCAAAGCAAAAATTACATCCTTATAGTTGTTTTAAAAAAAAAGCGTTTAAAAATATTATTAATATTTTAAACATTTTAAAAATATATTTTTTCATACTACATTGAAGCTTTGTTTTGCAAAAACATGTTAAGGATGTGTTGCAATGTGTAAGAAATTAAATTATAGTTCTATTTTAAATTAATATTATTTATTATTATTATTATTATATATTAATTTTTTCTATTTAACAAAAAAACTACAATCTTTTAATTATATATATTGAGTTTTTTTTTCATGAAAATACATTCTGTCTCATTATAATACATATAGCATTGTCCCGTCCTAACTTTAATATATTTATTGATTCAATTGGAGCAAGCGTGCATGTAAGGTCATCAGGTGTTGTTTACATGCTTAGGCCTTCCGGTTGTCTTGCAAACTGTGACACCCACTCTGATTGAGCAGTTATTACCCAGTGGGAAACGCGATATGTGATGGCATTTACTCTCCACCAGGTGGCGTATTTGACAGCTGGATGATGACCTAATGCCAGATGATGCCAATTTTTTTTCCAAATCAGATTTTCCGAAACTAAACTATAAAGTTATTAACATTTGGAGTTTTAACTAACTAACTAACTAACTAACTAACTAACTAACTAACTAACTAACTCTAGGATATAGATTTGTGTGTGTACTTTAGATGCATAACATTTATTTAATGTCAGGCCTATTGAAAGCTATTCTGCATATGTGATTTAACATTTAAGTATTATTTCTAATAAAATTAATTTGCCACTATTTAAAGTGTTTATTAAAATCCAGACAGTTCAGATTTTTATAGGATGTCGTCCAGATATGATGTTACAGACTTCAGCCAGCAGGGGGCAGATTTTACAGACCCCCATAATTAAAAAAAACACTCCTGGAGTCTGGGACAAAGATGAGGTACTACGTCCTATCCTTAACTTTAACAATAAAGTTTGTTTCATCACTTATTTTACTTTTATATAACACTTTTAAACAACTACTCCACGTGTTTCCATCTCTCAAAACGCAACAGATGAAAATATCCAAGACCACGAAGAATCCATTTAAAAAAGAGAGAGATCCGTCTGTATTTTACGTGAAAAGCCAAAAGGAAACGCCTCAATTCTTCAGATGCAGCTCTAGCTTTCCTTGAGGTAACTTCCCAGCATGATTCAACCCAAAACAAGCGCAGCAAATCCAATAGAAGAAGAAAGAATAAGCCTCAAGATCCTTTGGCTAGACAAAAAAGCATATTTCAAACTTACATTGACATGATGCTAGGTACGAAGTCACTGCAAGCAGCAACAGAATCCGGGTATCCACAAAGCTGAGCATGTCTAAACCGACATGCAGACTCCTTGTGCCGCAGTGCCCTGGTTTAACTACTTCAAGCAGGCATACAGTTGTGGTATAAACTCCAAACTTAGCAGGAACCTGCTGCCGTGATGCTAGAATAATAAAGAGCGACCAGCCCTATTTATATGGCAGGAGGTTCCCTTGACTGCGTGTCCAGAGTGAACCCCAAACCAATGGAGAGAGAGCCTCTATATGACTGTCATCCGAGCTCTGCCCTCATCCCTGCCTCTCTCTCTCTCACTCGCTCTCTCTCTCTCTTTCTGACTTTGGCAATGCTCTGACAATGATGACGAGTACAACGTTTTAATTAGATCCATTCTTTTGAGGACGTGGACATGGTCGAGCTTTAAGAGAGAAAAGCTTTGCGTTTTTCTCAGGCTCTTTTGCGCGTGAAGATGAACGGATCTGATTCTCCGCGCGCTCGACGCATCTTCGGGACGCGCGTCTGGGCGCGTTCACGGGAAATATCGCATATTTAACTGATGATAAACACTGGCTTTGCAGGCTTAATAAGTTTGTTTAGATACTGTGAAAACATTACTGTATGACCACGTCGTCGGTATATGCGGAATAGTTTGGGTTTTTATGCCCTGATTTGCACTAGGATGCCCTCTTTTATGCATATAGGCTATACATTATATAGCTTAGTCGCAGTCTGTAGTTTGTGCTAAAAAAGGTAAAGCTTTCCTGCATCGTGCATACAAAAAGTACAGAGATAATGAATCTTTTATCTATTAAATTATTTAGAGATAAAAAAATCTATATTTTAAGACGTAAATGTCACTTTTATGTGATTTCTTTGGTATTTAGAGCTTAATAGAGTTTAAAAATAATAATTAAAATTCATTAAAGTACTGAAATTGTTGAAAAAACGTAATAAATCTTTAGTATTTTGAGAATTTTCAATTTATCAAATCATTAAAGCAGTACAATTGGTATTTATAATAATAATTAAAAACCATTAAAGCACTAAAATTCCAACAATAACTACAAAATGTACTTTTATATAAAAAAGACTAAAATATTTGAAAAAGTAATAACTATTTTGACATATATTGATTTGCGTGTAATTTTTAAAGAAAACTAGTAGTATATAAAAAATAAAATAAACATTTCTCAAGTATGGAAATAGTTGATGTGGCTTAACTGACATGCAGGAAGCCATTTTGTAGTCATGTGACAAGAAAAACAGGGATGTTCCCTTCAGACCCTCTTGACATTATTATTATTATTATTATTATTTATTAATTATTTCATTATGCAAATTAACATTAACAGAATATTAAAGGCACATATAAATAAAGCTAAGTCCGTTCTTAGAATCACTTACTGATAATAATAAAGCTCAATAGATTTTAAAAATGTAAAATCTGCATATGTGTCAACACTTTAAGTGTTAAACAATTTCATTCGGATTAAACAAATTGTCTAGCTTTATATCATATCAGTATATATATTTTTAAATTAACCTCATGATCTTAAAATACTTAAAAGATATGACATTTTTGTCATTTCTATAAAAGATACATTAGATTAATTTTAAAAAGTAAAATTTTACTTGTTTGTAAAGAAATATATAATTTTTATTCACTCATATTTAAACAAGCTGTCCGCTGTCAGACCCGCTTTCTTCATTTTTCGAACTCTCGCATGGATTGTTGCTTGAGCTCAGTTTCAGACAGAAAGCTGAAGGCCGGACTGTGAGATCTAATTTCAGCTCAGTCTTCAGCTCTGGCCACAGGACCAGACTTGCCTGAATCCTGCGCTTCAGTCTCTGCAGAATGTGCTGTTTAAAAGCACACAAACCCCACAGCATTTTCACCAAAACACACATTTACTGTCTCTATATCAGTGCTGCTTCACCCCGGCCCGAAACTACCTACGAACCACCAATAAATATTAATTAAAATCTTCATTTTGTAATCAAAATAGATTTAGTTATCAAAACAAACACTGTTTAAGAGCACCAGTTGTTTTTAGCACACTGAAAAAAAAAATATTCGTTAGATTTGCTAATTTCTTTTAAGGTAAGTGGTTGCAAACAATTTACATGGGCTGAATTTAAACAAACCAATCATGTTGAACATTACTACATTTATTTTGTTTGCTTAAAATCAGCTCATATACATGGTTTTCAAACACTTACCTTAAAGAAAAACAGTAAATCCAATTAACCATTTTGCTAAATCTTTCTGTGCAATTTACAATAATTCTGTTTTGTTGGAAATCTGCAAGTTGGAAGGCAATTCATTTATTCTCCATGAGAATATTCAATTCAGTTCATCTTTATTTCTATAGCGCTTTTAAAATGTAGATTGTGTCGAAGCAGTTTAACATAGAAGTTCTACTAAACTGAAGCTGTGTCAGTCCAGTTTTCAGAGTTGAAGGTCAGTTTAGTTCATTTCAGTGTAGTTTAATGTTCACTGCTGAAAGTTCAAACACTGAAGAGCAAATCCATCAAATATCATGAATAATAATAAACTATTATAAACTTTTAAAGTCATGTGTAGAACTTTGCTATCAAGCAAATACCTTTATAATCTATTTAGACTATAGGACAAATGACAAAAGTGTATTTTTTGTATTGGTGTTCAGAATATGATATGCACCTCATATTATAGTGCATTATAAAGCACTGCAGCACATCTATCAATAATTTATAATAATATCAAGATTCTGGGGTGTCACAGTGGTGCAATGGGTAGCATAATCGCCTCACAACTAGAAAGTCGCTGGTTTGAGCCTCGGCTGGGTCAGTTGGCATTTCTGTGCGGAGTTTGCATGTTCTCCCCTTATTCGTGTGGGTTTCATCCAGATGCCTCATTTTCCCCACAGCCCAAAGACATGTGGTGTAGGTGAATTGAATAAACTCATTCATTCATTTTCTTTTCGGCTTAGTCCCTCTATTAATCCGGGGTCGCCACAGCGGAATGAATCGCCAACTTATCCAGCACATGTTTCACGCAGCGGATGCCCTTCTAGCTGCATCCTCTCTCTGGGAAACATCCATACACACTCATTCACACTCATACACTACGGACAATTTAGCCTGTATCCAATTCACCTGTACCACATGTCTTGGACAATGGGGGAAACCTGAGCATCCGGAGGAAACCCACGCGAACGCAGGGAGAACATGCAAACTCCACACAGAAACGCCAACTGACCCAGCCGGGGCTCGAACCAGCGACCTTCTTGCTTCTCGCTTCAATAAACTAAATTGGCCATATTGTATGTGTGACTGAGTGTATATGGATGTTTCCCAGTACTGTGTTTTAGCTGGAAGGGCATCCGCTGTGTAAAACATATGCTGGATAAGTTGGCGGTTCATTCCGCTGTGGCGACCCCAGATTAATAAAGGGACTAAGCCGAAAAAGAAAATGAATGAATCAAGATTCTGTATTCAATTTAAAATTGAATTTGAAATCATCAGTCAAAATAATATTGCGCAAAACAGTCATAATATATCAGACCTGCATATATATTTCAAACTGAATGCCATAAATATGACTTTGAAAAGTTAGGCATTAAGTGAAGTTTATTTATAAACTAATTTCAATAGGATCTCATGCTTATGATTGACACGGCTGGCCCCGAGTCAAACTAATGCAGGAACCACCAATCAGACGATTCCTAACTCAGTATAATCAACCAAGCATCTTACCTTTAGACATCTTCGTCTTGAAGACGCCCCTTCCACTCCCTCTCCTCTTCTTTTTCCTCTATTGGGCAATACAGCAGGCCAGTGGTTAGCACTGTGGCCTCACAGCAAGAATACTTCTGGTTCGGGTCTCTACCCGACCATTCGGCATTTCTGTGTGGTGTTCATGTTCTCCCCATGCTCGCGTGGGTTTTCCCCAGGTCCTCCGGTTTCCTCCCACAGTCCAAAACAGGAGACATAAGTAAATAAACTAAACCAAATCAGCACCATAGTCAAATTCCACCAGCAACACACCCTCATAGCGATCCTCAAGCAGCAGGAGGGAGGGGGGTCTCGAGATCTACCTGAGCTCAAACTCCCCTCTCGCATTGCAATGGGAGGGAGCCCCAGGTTCGAGGATCTCATGAGCTCAGGGCTCTCTTCCGGGACAGCATGCCAAACTAGCTTATTACCAATCATCAGCTAAGTGTAAACTCTTGAATATGTATCACATACAAGCTTATCAATAAAAAAACTGACCCTAGTATGTTACAGTATATAGAGGAAAAATGCGAAATATATTTGACAAACATTTATGACACTGAAATAACTTCATAACAAGAAGCATTAAAAATGACCCAAACACAAAACATGAATCAGTTAATGAATCATGTGTACTGTAAAGTTATAGAAGCATTTGCAAATGTTTTTCCTTTCTTTAATTATGAATATTTATTATTATTATTATTAATATCATCATCATCATCATCATCATCTCTTCATTGCAAACGGACCTGAATGCATTCTGAGTGTTAATGAACTGCTGCGGTCTGTTACGGCCCTCCCACTGTTTAAACAGTTAATTGGACAGGATGGGAAAGTTCATAGACTCCTAGTGCTCAATTAGACTCCTCAGCAGGACTGTAACACACACACACACACACACACACACACACACACACACACACACACACACCCACACACACACACACACACACACTCACACATTGCTGTCAGGTGTGTAAATGGTGTCTGTACACAGATTCCACAGTTTCACAAGTACTTGTTCGTAGGAGTAGGACACTTTAAAGGGGTAGTTCACCCAGAAATTAAACAAACCTTATCATTTACACGTCTTTATGTGGCTTTAAACCTTTATGAGTTTCTTTCTCCTGTTGAACACAAAAGAAGATATTTTGAATATTGCTGGTTGCTGGTACCTATATCGATGTCCATATAGGGAGCAAAATGACTATGGCAGTTTTCTCAATATCTTTTTTGGTGTTCAACAGAAGAAGGTTTTAGTCATTAAGTCATGAGATTATTTTAATTTTGAACTATCTTTTTAAGGCATGACACTGAAGGCAAAAGTGTTCATGCACTTGTCAGTTTAGAGAGGTTTTTGTTCAGTCTAATGTGAAGAAAACATCCAGAATACACTTGTGTGTTTTTGATTTGTTGAACTTTATCATTTGTCTTTATAGATCACATAATTTATGAATTACAATACATATTTTTAA